TTTAGTAAACAATATATATTGTGTCATGAATAATATTAATCCAGATTGCTATTGCCAAAGCAAAGAATAATTCTTTACTGATGTGTATAGATAAAGGCTAAAGTATTGTATTTTGAGTAGGTTGTGAAAACCAGATCAGGATTATCCATCAGAAAAATGAAAGAAGAAATTGATGAATATGATGCTACCAGCTATATGCCACTCCAGCCTCCTCTGCTGGGTCCTATGCCCAGAGCTCTTTCTTCAATGACGTTGATCCAGTCTAAGTACCTTTTCATGCCTTTTTACATGGTACTTTCCATCATGGAATAATCCTCTTACTCCAAATTTGTGCTCTTTTCTTTTCTTTTTTGAGATGGGTCTTGCTATGTTTCCCAGGTTGGTCTCCCAACGCCGGGGCTCAAAGCAATCCTCCTGCCTCAGCCTCCCAAGTAGCTGGGACTACAAGTGCATGCCACTGTGCCCTCTGCTCATTTTTCAAAGCCCTGATTAAATGTCATCTTCTTTGTGTTTCTGCCTTGACTACCCACTTTCCCCAAAGAGTTAATCACTCTTCTTTTGTCCTATGCCTGTACATTTTATGTATTTATGTCATACTTCCACGTAATTATTTATAAAGCTTTCAGTCTTCTGTATTAGTGGACAAGATCTTTGGTGGTTTGGTGGTTGAGAATATTCCATACACATTGATCTTGACATCCTAATAACTTTCACAGTGCTTAATATAATAACTCAATAAAATGACGTGATATAATGATTGAGTGAGTATGTGAATAAAAATAACATTTATGTTACTTTATTATGGCCAAGAGTAGATCATTGAATTACCATTCTGGAATTGTCATTTTTATCTTCTCTATAAAATAACAAAATGCTTAATTTTTGTTGTAAGAAGCATTCATATAGACCTTAAAGGGCTAAAAACACAGGGAGTGATTTGAGAGATATTTCCTCAAACAATTTGAGAAATCTGCATTGTTGCTGAAGCTCATGAAGATATTTTTTTTTTTCCACGAAAACAAACGTTCATTAAAAGCATGTAGATTCAGATGGCTCCAGGCAAATATCACAGAGCATGATACAGTTTCTGTTTCTCTGTCTACATTCAGGAACCATGTTGAACAGTGGTTCTCAAAGAGGGCTGGGTGTTTGAAAATACATGGGGATGGGCTTTTGGCAGTGTGGTTTGCAGAATACAATAGTTAAAGGACATTATTGACATTTAGAGGGTGACAACCTGGGTTGATAAATATCCTACACCACCAAGACATCCCAGATGAAAAAAGTATTGTCCTAACCAACAGTCTAGTAATGTTTCCTTAAGAACTGCAATGGGTTGTGGCCAAAACTGGTTGCCAAGTAGGCCCAACAAAATGAAAACAAATGCAAAAATAGGCTAGAGTGTTTCTGTGTCTCAACAGCATAACAGTAACCCAGGCCTAAGATTTGGTTCAGGTCCGAAGAAGCTGTCAAAAGAAGAATGTAGAATGGAAAAGAAAAAAATCTGAATTATTAATAAAACTTATTTTTCTAAGAATTTCTCTGTCAGAATCAGCATACCTTTTGGACTATTCTCCAAACATTCATCTTATGTAAAAGACAAAAGCAAAACTAATATATGAAACGAATGTCTTACGAAAACCAAATCTGATCATTCATTCAACAAATATTCATTAAGTATATTCTGTGTTCTGGGTTGCTTTAGGCTCTGGTGATATAAGGTGAACAAAAACAGACATGATCCCTGCTCCTTCATAATTTAGTCTACAGATGTTTATCAGCTTCAAAAGGTTTCACTTTTTTGCATAAACATTCCTACCTATTAGAGTAGATGAATGATGAGTAATTACTCATCTCTATTACAGAGAGAGCAATCTCAGACGTTACCTTTGCATTTAAGTGAAAATGGAGTCACAGTATCCTAAATATGAGGACCAAAGTCATAGTCAAATATAGAGAGAAGGGACCATTAGGCCACCAGAAAGAAAAAGATTTCTAGTTCCAGTCATACACTGCGTAAAGATCTTTCTCCTTAAATAGACTGCACATAAAACAGTGATCCCATAATAATATAATGGAGCTGAAAAATTCCGATGGCCTAGTGACATTGTAGCTATTGTAAGGGCATGGTATATCACATTACTCACATGTTTGTGGTAATGCTGGTATTAGATAAACAAACCTGCTCTGCTACTCATATGACAGTCTAGCACATACAATTATGTACAGTACATAATACTTGATAATAACAAAGGACTATGTTACTGTTTTATGTATTTACTATACTATACTTTTTATTGTAGTGTGTACTCTTTCTACTTATTAAAAAAAAAAGTTAAGTGTAAACCAGCCTTAGGCAGGTTTTTAGTAGGTATTCCTTAAGAGGGTATTATTATCATAGGAGATGACAGCTCCATGTGTTTTATTGCCCCTGAAGACCTTCCAAAAGTGGGAGAAGATGTGGAGGTGGACGACAGTCATATTGATGATCCTGACCCTTTGTTTGCTTAGGCTAATGTGTGTGTTTGCATCCTCATTTTTAACAAAAAAAAGTTTATAAAACAAAAAAAATTATAAACTTTATAGAATAAAGATATAACAAGAGACAATATTTTTGTCTAAGTGTTACTATAAAAGTCAAAACTTTTAAAAAAGTTTATAAAGTAAAAAAGTTACAGTAAGCTAAGGCTAATTTATTGTTGAAGAAAGAAAACTAGGGGATGGGCAAATTCACACCTAACAGATGCTATCTGGGGAATGGACACACTTGTAGCTCTGACTTGGGTTATGCAAAGGGAATTTATATAACCAAAGCATTTGTAGCCCTGTAATACTCTGAAATAAAAAAATATATATATATTTTAAAAAAGAGAAAACTGGGTCTTTAAAATAAATTTAGTGAAGCCCAAGTGGATAGTGTTTATAAAGTCTACAGTAGTGCTCAGCGATGTACTTGATCTTGACATTGACTCACCTCTCACTCACTGACTCCCCCAGAGCAACTTCTAGTCCTGCAAGCTTCATTCCTGGAAAGTGCCCTATCCAGGTGTATCATTTTTAAATCTTTTATACCATACTTTTACCATACCTTTTCTATGTTTAGATATGTTTAAATACAGAAATACTTCCCATTGTGTTACAACTGCCTACAGTATTCAGTAACGTAACATGCTGTATAGGTTTGTAGCCTAGGAGCAACGGGCTATGCCATACAGTCTAGGTGTGTAGTAAGCTATACCATCTAGGTTTGTGTAAGTGCACTCCATGTTGTTTGTACAGTAATGAAATGATGCATTTCTCAGAACATATCCCTGTCCCTAAGCAACACATGACTGAAAATACCAGGTCTATATGAACACATTCTCCATGGGCTCATCTTCTACAAACTGAGTTTAAAGCTAAAAAGCTTTACTACATAGCCCCAATTACTTTAAACTATAGTTTTAAAATGAATTTAGCTTAAGTTTTATTGTCAGCTCAGTTTTTTAAATTATTGGCTTGTTTTTTCATTTATTTTGCTTGGTGAGTGAAACTGTTATACAAATCTAAATATCGAGAAAATTAAAGGGGAACAAATGGAAGGAGAGTCTAGATCTGAATGATCCAATTTGGCTTCTTACAATAGTCAATTTTCCCAGATAATTGTTTATTTTTTACACTTTTCCTCTACCTGAGAAAACAAGATTTAGGTCCTGTACCTATCTCACTTCATTCTCTTCCTCCACAATGGTCAAATCCTTTAAAGAAAACAGTCCCTGGACAGATCTACATAAGATTCATGGAAACCAATTCTCAGAAATGATGCATGTACAAATATTGGCATTGCAAACTGCCAAAAAAGACTCTCCTTAGTAATATTTTAAAAAATATATTGGCAAAAGTTGAGTCACAGCCTTCCATGGCATTGCCTCTCCCCAAAGCAGAATGAACATGTTTGCATATGAGTGATTACCCTTCATTTCCTGGACTGAACTTGAGTTTGGTGTCCCGGAGCTACCAGTGTACTCAGTTAAAACCATGCTGAGTTAAAACTCAGCATTAGAGAAAATAAGAAATGATCAGAACAGTTGGCTTCATGCTAAATTTATCAATCAAATGGACTGAACCTTGTCCAACAACAAAAAATATCATGTCATTTCTTTTTATGGAAAATATTCTTAAAATGTAGTCCTCAGACTAGCTGCATCATCTCTTGAGAACTTGTTGGAATTGCAAATTGTTGACCTCCACCCCAAATATCAGAAACTCTTGGGGTGAGGTCCATCAATCTCTTTTGATGAAGCCTTTCAAATGATTCTGATGCATGTTAAAGAGACATAAGCATATTGAGTCACAGATTATAAATTGTGTTTAAAAAGGTACAAGGACATATTTGTGTTGCTGCCAGTGTATAATGAGAATGAGAAAAGCCCTGGAAAAAGAGAGAGAGAATTGAAGAGAGAGAGAGAAGAAGAAGTAGAAGAAAACTTTTCCTTCTTGATCTAGTGACTAGATTAGATTTTCTTTTATCTTTCTAAAGTGATAAACAAATGTTTTGGCAAGGAAAAACCGGCTCATGAAGCTATGTTTAAAACATTCAATCCAAAATCATGAGGAAAGATCACAGGAAATATTTATTTCAAATGTGTACAACTGTTTGTTCTAGGGAAATTTTTGTCTTTTCAGCGAAACAGTTATTTCTGTCAGTTGCAAAATATTTTCTTTTTTAGCTCTCTTCCCACATTCAAAAAAAAAAAAATACGCATCTACAAACACAGACATACATTTGTACCTAGAAAGATCCATGAGTAGGTTCTACCATAAATTTGTCTTTTTACATTAAAATTTAAAACATATGAGTAAGTTTAATATGTTGCTATATATGACAGATTTATAAGTTTAATTATACTTATTTCTTTTTTTAAATTAACTTTTATTTATAAATTTCAATGTGAAACATTATGCTAAAGGGCCTTGGCCATTCCATATGGAACTAATGTATTTTTCCTTGTGCTTGACAGAACTATGGAACAGTGGAATCGCTTTCAGGATCAACAGGAAGACAATGACAGCTGCACAGAATCTGTGAAATTTGATGCTCACTCAATGACAGCTTTGCTTCCTTTGAGTAAGTAGAAAGCCATGGAGATTATTCTTAAGAGTCATTGACAATATATACAATTATAGTCTTGAGACTTACCTTAAATGTGTAAGGATGTTAAAATAAAACTTATCTGATAAATAGATCTACTTCTCTTTTGGGATAGAATAGAAAATAAGCTAAAATTATATGAAATTAACTAAGCCTATAGTATCAATCAGATCCTCTGTTTCCCAGCCACAGGTCCTAGAGACAACTATGATCTTAGCACTATGAACTAATAATTGAAAATCATGGGCAGTAGATGATGCCTGTGTTAGTTTTCTAGGAGTATTGTAACAAATTATCACAAATTAGGTAGCTTAAAACAAGAGGAATGTATTCTCTGATAGTTCTGAAGTGTCACAGTCCGAAATCAAGGTGTCGTGAGGGACATGTGGCCTTTTGAAGGCTCTAGAAAAAGAACGCTTCCAATTATCTTCCCAGCTTCTAGTGGCTCCTGGCCATTCTTAGTGTTTCTGGGCTTGTAGCTCCATCTCTGTAACCTCTGCTCTCTTCTTCACATGGTGTTCTCTTTGTAACTATGTGTTCTTTTCTCTTTTTATAAAGACACCAGTCACTGGATTAGGGTCATCCTCATCCAGTATAACCTCATTTTAACTTGATTACATCTGCAAAGACCCTGTTTCCAAATAAGATCACCTTCACAGGTATCTGGGGTTAGAATTTTACCATATCTTTTTAGGGGACATAACTCAACCCACAACTGTGCTGGAACAGATGTTTGTATAGGTTACAACAAGAGCTCAAATGAAACAATACTCAGCTGTATCTGAACGGGGTCATTTTAGGCGGCAGGATACAAATACTTACAATTCTGCTAAAACCTTGAAGCATAAAAACCTATTACCAAGGGGATGGGTGGAGAGAAAGGGGTCAGAAAGACATTTCAGTTAGAACAAACAGTGTACACAAAACTAAAGGGTCAAACATGAGTTCTTGCATAGGCGAACCTGGAATGTAGATCTCAATCTCAGGGCATGGTGGATCTCGTGTACTGTGCAAAGGAGGGGTGGGGGTATGTGCCATCAGTGAGACACATGTAAAAGAGATAAGAGTTAAGAATGAAATAGAAATGAGGAGAGACTGAAGAAGGAAGCATTGGGAGCAAAGAAAAGGCAACAGAAACATTTGAAAGCAACGAAAACATTTGAAATTTATTTACAAGATAAAATACAAAAAAAAAATTGGTATTATAAATTAGAATGAGGGAGATGATTGATAATTTTTAGACTGACTCAACCTGATGGATGGCATATCCTATCTTGCTTTTATTATGGGTTGTTCTTGTTCTTTTTCCTTCATTCTTTTCTTCCCTTTTCTTTACATTTTAAACATTTTCTCTTGTTTTCCTTTTAATTAAGAACATTATTGGAAAATGATCTAAATTTTCTTTTTAATTTAGGAGTTTGGAACCTGAAAGCAAAATTTACTTCTTTTTTATTGAGCAATAAAAGCAATGGCCACAGAGAAGAAATTTTTAGTGGGCTTTTAAGTTTTAAAGTTTCATTCACCTAATCAGAGAAAGACCTTTCCTATCTACTGTTTCCTCCCTGCATTGATATCTGTCTACAACTAGCATCCCATTATATGAGTCATCCTTCTATAGAAATGCATAGGACTAAAAGGTTATTGTTATTAATGTGTTCTGAAATGCCCAGAGGATGGGCTTCATTGATCCATTCTAAAGCTTAGTCAAAATATGAATCAATTTTTTGGTGTGTTTTTTTATATTGTGTTCAAATCATAAGAGATAACCAAATGCAAAATTCCTGAGATGGACTTGGAAAAGAACAATATTTTTGCATAATAGTTATCAAAAATAAATATTTCTTATCTGATTTAAAAATATGAACATTATACATTTTCATGAGAAATTTTACTTTCACTCATAACATATTCTCATGTAAAATACATAGAAGAATAAAATTTGTATTTGCATATGTCAGCATCAATATTACAATTACAAATTGATCCCAAAAAGTGAGACAAACACAATTTGTACTGGATAGTGCCTTTCTCATGGATGTTTAGTGAATGAATAAATAAATCAAATGTCTGTAGTCATACCTGTCTTGGTTTTTCCTATAACTTTCCTTTTGCTTCCTACTGGATAAATGAGAACCTATTTTTTTTTTTTTTTTGCCTCTTTTTATTCTAATAGGCTTAGTAGTAACAATGTAATTGGAGATTACAAAAAAAAAATTTAAATAAGAAGAGTAAGTTTTCTAATAGTAGGCTGGGCTTTTGCTTTTTTAGATCCTAAAAATGGCCCCACCCTTCAAGAGAAATTGAAGTCCTTCAAAGCTGCACTGATTGTCCTTTATCTCCTTGTGTTTGCAGTTCTCATACCTATCATTGGAATAGTGGCAGGTAAAGTATTCTCGTGTTTTAAAACTTAGCAATTCAACCCATGATTTATTTATTGCAAAGCAAAAAAGAAGCATTCAATCTTTTGTATATGGTAGATTCATAAAGAAAACTTTCTATTACAAAGTATAATATAAATTTATTAAATTAAAAATAGATTCTGAAAAGTTTACTAGAAACTCATAGATTTTTTTAAATTAGAAAAAAAGAAATATAATGGAAAAAAGAAGAGTAAGATAAAAATAATAGGTATATAAAAGTAATGCCAGGCACAGCGGCTCATGACTATAATCTTAGCACTTTGGGAGGCTGAGGTGGGAGGATCACTTGAGCCAGAAGATTGAGACCAGCCTGAGCAAGAGTCAGACCCTGTCTCTATAAAAAGTCACATGGTGGCATGTGCTTATAGTCCCAGCTACTCAGGAGGCTGAGGCAGGAGGACCACCCAAGCCCAGGAGTTTGAGGTTGCTATGAGGTATGATGACTCCACTGCACTCTAGCCCAGGTAACAAAGTAAGATACTATTTCAAAAATAAAATAAAATTTAATTTAAAAATAAAAGTAAGATGGAAAGGATTAAGCCCTTTAAAATATATATTATTTTCTAAAGTCCTCTGTACTTGTAGTGGTGGGCCACAAATTTCATGATAAGCATTCTAGTTGCTAATTCTGAAGATATAGCATGATCACTTACATTAACATCTGCTAAGGGGCAATCGAAGGGAGTATTCCAACAGAGAGCCAAAGTCCCACTAAGAAAGGAATGATAATAAAGACAACAACAATTATAAAAGTACTTGTCATTTTTGAGCATTTATAATATTCAGGCACTGGAGTATAAGATTTCAATAATTATCTTAATACATCCTTACAATTAATCTCTGAACAAACACTGTAATTATGCTCATTATCCACACAAGAAAATGGAGACTGCCCAGTAATGGAGCTGGAGTTCCCATCCATGACTTCTAAATCTTAACCTCTGTGGTCTATTGTCTCTCAAAGTAATTGAGTTTTTATACAAAAAATACGGTTGGCCAATAAAAACAAACAAACGAACAAAACAAAGTCACCACCGAAAAAGATTTTCCACACGTAAAAACTAACTCTTATTTTGGCCATTAAAAACAAATAGAAATAAAATTCTAACCATACAACCAAGCCAACCAAACTACAGCCATCTAAGTAAAAGGACCTGATGTGTCTGGCATTAATCAACTTTGTGATGACCAAAGTTTTCTGTATGTTGTTTGTGTATATGCTTATCTGTAGTGTCAAATGCGTAACTGAAAGATGCTTCATTGTTGGTTATAAGCCAGTTAGAATTTAGGTAAATTTCATCACTTTTATACAAACCACAGCCTGCAGAGCCAACCTCAGGGTGTGTAGCTTCTCACAAGCCCAGTAGTAGTAGAATACAGACAGAAGTCTGAAAACAATTCAAAATTCTAATGAAGTTCAGAAGATTGACAAGAAGCTAAAAATGTTCCATTCTGATAAGTTCACATTAGTACCAAAGTCAACGGAATTTGGAACAGACCTTACCATGTCTATCTTGACTTTATAATAAATAATTGACAATCCATGTACAACTTTAAGTTGAAGATCAGAATATTTTCAAGAAACTAAAGCACAAAATATATACCTCCACTTGACATAAAAATTATAAATGTAGGTAAAATATAGCCCTAAAATGATAGAATATGAATTAATGGGTAAAATAAACTGCTGTACATTAAAACTCTATTTAACATAAAGTATATTAGCTATTAAGAGATATTTTCTTAACTATATTTTATTAACTATATAATTTCTTAACTATAATTTGCTGTATATGCTACTTTTTCTTAAAGAAGCTGCTGAAACACTCTCAGAGTGTAACACCATAATATAATAATATACAATCTAGAATTAATGTATATAAATTGTTACTAAAATGCCAACAATTATTTAGCTAAAAACAATGTAAATTTGGAGTAGGCAAAAAATACTACCAACATGAAAGAGTAAATATGATCTGTGGAATCAAATATAACAATTATAACCCTCCTGTATGTGTTCACAGGCCATGAAAATTTGTCTCCTTTTATATGTGAAATAGAAACATCACAAAATGCCATCTCTTCAGTAAAAACAAATGAGCTTTTGAATATAAACTCTGGCATTCTTTACTTAGATACAGGATAAAGAATTAAACATTTTTCAAGAAAAATTAGTTTTCATTTAGGGTTTGGTGAAACTAGCAATTCTGTTTTTGAATCTATTAGCAAAATGTACATTTTATTGTCAACTGATATTTAACTTGCCAAATTAAAAATTTTTGATCAGATGACTTTGGTCAACGCAGGTCTTTTCTTTACATAGTGTGAAAAATATTTGCTTTACCCATACAAAAAAAAAAAATTTGTTTCTAATGAAGGTAAAATCATATTGTTGAGTAATTAGAGCCTTGTGCCTAGTAAAATAAAGCACAGACACTACTGTGTTCATGGAAACATCCAACGCCAGAAAAATTTTTATGTCACACAGTGTTCTTATGTCCAATTTATTGATAAATTAAGAAATATAAAATAACATACATTCAATACAGTCTGTTGCAGATCACATCAAAATCTTGTAACACACTTTATTATTTCAATAAGCAAACATTAAAGGTATACAACCAGAAAAAATACAATATCATATACTTTTTAAAATTGGAATCTAATGGCATATATTATACAATATTTATTCTGAATATACTAAGAGCTGCAATAGTAAACATCATCTGTTAAGTAAAAGTAGTGAATAAAGTAGACTCTCTAGCTAAGATCTTTCATGTATACCCTTTAGAGTTAATAGAGTTTTCATATGTGTCTATTTATATGCTATGTGATTTCTATATCTCATGCATAGCATCACTGTTCATGTAATTATTGCTTTTACAAATTGAGGACACCTAAGCAAAGAGAGGGATAAGTAACTTGCCCAGAGTAAAACTGAGGAGCAAAACTACATTCTAGAATCAGGCAGCTTGGTCATGTGTGAACACCAAGCTCTTATTTATAGCACAGATACACTGAGGGGTAGAACTAAATGTTTTTCATGTGTTATCTCATTTAATCCTCAAAAATTTATAAAGCTAGTACCATTACCATATCACTTTTATTAATAAAACTGAAAAATTCAGGTATAGCTGTATATATAGATATATTTTTGAACAATATGATGTTACTCTTTTTATTGCTCTATAATTGTCAAATATGAAAGCCTTATGCATTTAGATAAAGGTATAATATATTCAGGTATATAAAGATATGGCAAGCTAAAAATATTAACCATTACTGAAGAGTGATAAAATCATGTTTAACATTTTCTTTATTGTGTATTAGTATTAGTTTTATCTGAAAAGTTAATGTTTATGCTTTTTATTTTTTGAAACTATAAAACATATTCCTCTAGATTGTTTCAGGAGGATAATTGGCTTATTTAGAGAACATATGCTCATTTGGAAATATGTGTCAGCAGCTCAGTATGTTCCCCAAATACCATTTAATAGAATTTTTTCTTCAGGAAATAGTTAATTGCAAGATTATTCATCAAAACATTGAATGTGTTGCTGAAAACAGAAGCAAATTAAGTGTAGGGGCTTTGTTAAATAAATCTGGTATATCAATACTTAGAATACAATGTAGTTATTAAATTATTTTTATAGAATGATATTAAATCATATGAAAAAGTAGTTATATAGCATAAAATTAAAAAGTAGTTTCCAGATTGTATATAAAATAAAACTTTTAGAATAATTATATGATAGTAGAAACATAATAGATTTAAATATATGATAATAGAAACATAACATTACACTAAAATGTTAAGAGTTTAACCCAGGATGGTGAGATTCATGGTATATTATTTTTTCTTATTATCTACATTTTCTAAATTTTCTGCTATAAATATATATTTTAAAATAGGTAAGGAGGAGTCTTTTAAAGTGAAAAATATTTATTTGCCCAATTTCCTGATCTCACAACTGTGAATTATGCTTGTATGAAATGAATGACAATTGTATGAATTGTATGACAATTCTTGGCAGCTTAAGTGAGAGGATGAAGAAGATAAACCAATAATTTATCCATATCATGGATGACACCACTATCTTACCACATATTGTTTTTGTCATCATCATTATAACTGACATATTCAACATGCATACTTCAGAATTTGTATTACGCGTTAGCTCATTTTATTCTAACAACAATCCTATGAAGTAAGATACAATGCCTTTCATGATCTATAGAATTTTCCCTAACTGGCAAAGCCAAATTCAATGGCCAAGGAGTTTCAAATAAGCAGAAATTCAGAAACCATGATGTAATCCTGGTATAAATTTTACTGTAAAGCAGGAAAGAGATTCTGTGTGCTTCTGAGCTATATACCCCATGAGGGCCACACGTTGTATATTTAAAATAAATACTTGATTTAGTCTGGCATTCAAAGTGTTGGCATCAAATGGAACGAAATGAATAGAATGGAATGATATGGAATGGAATGGTGTGTGTGTTTAAGGACACAAGCCATGACTTGGTTTATTTTTACTTAAACATGCAGCTCAACTCCTGAAGTGGGAAGTGAAGAACTGCACAGTTGGTTCAGTTTATGAAAATGGTATATCTCAAAGTCTCACAGGAAAAGGAAATGGCAGTGAGGAAGCAGCGAGATTTCAAGAAGTTGTTATGGAACACATAAGCAACATGGAGAGGAGAATCCAGCGTATTTCAGATACAGAAGCCAATCTCATAGATTCAGAGCGTTTCCAAAATTTCAGTGTGACAACCGATCAAAGATTTAGTGATGTCCTTTTCAAGCTAAGTACCTTGGTTTCCTCGGTCCAAGAACGTGGGAATGAAATAGATGAAATCTTCAAGTCCTTAATAAGTCTGAATACCACATTGCTGGATTTGCAGCTCAAAATAGAAAGGCTGGATGGCAAAATCCAAGATAATACGATTAAACAACAAAAGGTGAGTTTTTGCATTGGAAGGTCACATGCTGGAATTGAATATATCCAGAACCTGTCTCCTCAGGCAGTCAAGGAAAGCAAAAGTTGCGAACTCTATTTCAATATCATCCTGTTTACCCTAATTTCTCTGACAGTCTTACCAAAAGTTTTCAAATGGATTTACCTAGTAACTTCTCCAGACTCCCAGAAAAATGGGAAATTTTTTTCCCGTTGGATTTAGACTCTCAAAAGGTATTCTTATTTTATAAATCCTGTTGAGGTGTCTTATTATACTCTCTAAACCAGTTATAATTGTTAGATTATCTTAACAGATCTGAAGAGATAAGCACTCTATATTTGTGAATTTTACAACAGATTCAATATTTCTTCACCATCAAAAAATGGAAACCTATGTACCTGGATTTTTTCCAAAATATAAATTTTAAAATAATTTATTTTGCCACTTCCAAGAGGCATACATAAGATGTTATATATATAAATACTATATAAAGAATTAAATTTTGAACAGTGTATACATATTATCATCATGGTATCATCATAGAATAATAACGTATACTTGTTAGCATCATAGGATCAAATCCACATTAAGTTTTCTACTTCTGTGTGCATAATCGTTAAATATTGAGAAAGATAGCAATGAGAAAAGAACTATTATAATCAGGCTGAAGAATGATCAGATATTCCCTTATATAGATGTCAAGAGGGCAAGACTGCTCTAAACCAATTATCAGCAAAGTTTGTTTGTAAAAGGTCAAATGGAAACATTTTAGGCTTTGGGGGCTATGCATTCTCTGTTGTCACTACTCAATGCTGCCATTATAGCATGAAAGAGGCAGAACATATGTAGACAAGTGATCAAAACAGTGATGCAATAAGTATTTATTTACAAAAATAGACTGTGGGTTGAATCTGGCACATAGACCATAATTTTCTGATCTCTCTCGAGACTATTTGGCCAACTCTGGCTAAGGTCTGGATTACTTTGTACTGATGAGAAGGAAATTAAGAAGCAAATCACTTATTTCAAAATCATATTATCTTTTTTTGTTGAATAAGTATATTTGTTTTTTTCCATACAAAATAAATATTGGACTAAAACTTCACTACTCATCTGAAACAATAATCTTTATATTATCAAATACCTTATAAAAGACCCAAGATCATAATTAATGTGAAGCCTGTAAAATTTCCATTATTAGCTAAGCAATGCTGGAATCTTTAAAGGAAATTCTACTTGAATAGACCCATTCTTAATTAGTGAGGTTGTTTTCTATATAGAAACAATATTACTAAGTAGTGATTTTTGAAAAGTTGGTGTTACCTATAGGGCAAAGGCAAATCTCTAAAGTCATAACATCAGAGGAAAACCAACAAAATTATTGACTAGAGAATAAATAGGTTAAGAAAGAATTTCCTACATATTTATTATTTATAAGGGTCAATCACTCAGAACATTTACATTTTTACACGATCTTCATCTTAAGGTGACAGAAGACAAAGCCATTACAGTTTAAATATGTAGACTCTACTGGTGAACCTCAACCCAACACTAACCTTGATATCCTGTTTCTATTCCATGTAACTCTTCCAAAATCTGACAGTCTTTCCACATTGTTCATAAGTACCTAAGCATATTAAATAGGATTGGGATATCAAGAACCTGGGCAATGAGAGGATTAGAGAAAATGCACAAAGGAGACACTGTCCCTACAGTTGAAGAATATGGGAGACAGAGAAAGCCAAAATGTCAATTGTAGGAGTAGACACTGATTAAGTTGGAGGGAAAGAGGAAGGAAGAAGAAATACTACTTTATGTGGAAACAGAGTCAGAGGAACAATGAGATGGGTAAGGAGAAAGAAAATGGGTAGGGCAGGAGAAGAAGCAGATACTTGATACAAGTAACATGCCAAATCCAGCAGAGACAATGGAATAGCCTTGAGCCCATGTAAGTGAAGAATCAAAACCAAATTGGAAACCATTTGGAAGGCAGGAGAAATTTTCAACCAGTTTGAAGAGATACTGAATGGAAAGAATCAAAACCTGGTGATCAGTGATCTGTTTGAGTTTGAATAGATTGCACTTATATTTTGAAGTGCAAAAGGGAATTCCAGCATCAGAAAAGGAGAAAAAGGGGGATGGTGTAACTTCCAAAGCTATTTTTTTTTAAAAGACAGTAGTCACTTGTAGCAATTTAGAAACAATTTAATAGGTCAGTGCCAGAGTGCTATGAGTGTTTGTGTGTATGCACACTGAAAAACAACACTGTGACTCTCATTCCCATTGCTTGAACAAATTTATTGATCTTTGAATCTTTAGCTCAACCCAAAAACTAGTCAATTAATTGAATGCCTGAATTTGTAAATGCTGCTTGTGGAAAAGGCTTATAAGTAATACCAGCATAATACTTATGAAAAACATGCTAAACATTAACTTTAACCCAAAACAAGAATATTGGCACTAAATAGAAGATAGGGGTGGAATTTACTATCTCTATTGTTCATAGAAGAACTGTATGACTGCAAAATTATATGGCTATTTCCAAGAGGGTCACTAGTGCTAGTGTGTGGAGGCTATGCATGAATCCTCTATACGATTTTTAAAAATCAAATGTACTTTCCCTCCGCCCAATGAAAATAATTCGAAGTGAAATTTGACAAATGTGAGTGTGGTTTTCAAAGAAGGGAATAAAAAGGCATCCTCAGCTTTAGGTCCAAAAATCATGGGTGATTCCTGGTTTGTAGGTAGCAAAATTACTTGCTAGCCCCCCTAAATTCTGCTCTGTGGCTGTCTGGACCTACCTGATACCTGCAGTAATTTGTGGCCACCTAAATTAAATCAAGCACATTTATCATGGTGCTATGTCCTATAAATCTGCACACTCACTATTCCACTTTTATTGTAATTGTATGGAAAATGCTAAATGGTCAGGGAAGGAGGAGGTGGAGGGTAGAGATATTCTAATCTAGAACAAGGTTTTAAATGAGAGAAAGCACAGAGCAGTGGAAGCTGATAAGCTTTTCTGCTTAAGTATAGTATTGTTGAAGGGGTAAGTCTGGATACACATTCATTTCTTTTCAAAGGTCTTACACTTTAACTGTCTTAATCCTCTCATCTCAACTAGTCTAGTTCAGTCCAGTCCCAAAGAGTGTAATTTTCTCTTTACATCTTAATCAAGGAGTAATACACCACCAGTTTATTTCTACATGCAAATGGGAAATGAGAGTCTATCATAGAAACACCTAGAAGTATAAAGCATACCGTGAAGACAGAGGATGGGATAAAAGTGGAACAGAGAGACAAAATCATTATCAGAATAGATGAGGAGGTTTGGTGCATCAAAAAGTGGAAACCCGACACTCAAAGAGAAAACCAAGCAAAGGACTCAAAAAGAAAAGAAATAAAGAAAAATGCTAATTGTTAGAAATTTGATGACTGGATACTTTAACCTCATTATATTAAAAAAACAATTAACAATGATTTATTATATCAACTCTTACTTAAATATATTAAGTAAGCAAACTTAAATATATTGATGGTACCCGGTATTTGGGTATAAAAAGTAGACACTGATACGCAGTACATAAGGAGGGGAAATGATAGCATGTATTTGGAGAGCAGGGTGGCAGTGTTGAACAAAAATTTTAATGTTTAATCCCTATGGTCAAATCCACTTCTAGGAAGATGTCCTACAGAAGCACTTGTACAATATATAAATATATATAAAATGGTGTTGATTGCTGCATTGTCTAAAGTTGTAAAAAACTACATAGCTCAAAACTCTATCAATAGGAATCAAATAAAATTATGAAAAATTCGTACAATTCAGTTCTACTCAATTATTGAAAATAAGTCAGTCTCTAAGTAACTTAGTAGGTAAATATCCTTACCATATCATTGAGTGAAAAATAAAAGCATATTCCAGAACACAGTATGATCTCTCTCTCTTGTTCACATTCTCTATATATGTATATGCATACATATACATATTTACACACAAAATATGTTTATATTTGAAAGCACAAAATACTAATTAAGCCTCAAGTACAGAGGCAATAAAAATTGAAAATAAAGTACTATTAATATGCTAGTTTCAGGTTGTATTGAATATGAAAATGTACCTATAATGTTTATTACGGCTGAGAGTTATGACATTAAACTTTAGTTATTGCTATAAAACAATTTTGTTTATAAACCTATTAGATTCACAAAATGATAATATGTTGTCACTGTAAATATAATGTAAGGAAATTTCAGATAAATTAAAAATCTGAATTTTGATTAAAAATGTTTTTAATTTTAAATTTGTAGCATTTTGATATCTATTTAGGAATAGAAGCATATCTTATATTTATTTAACTGATTTTGATGAGGGGCTAGAGGTATAAAAATTCAGCAAATCAGTGAAAAAAGGACATATTTCACAATAAAAGAATTAACATTTTAAAACTGTTTTCTAATCTCCATATTCTTATTCCATAAAACTCCTGTAAGGCATGTTTTTTAAAAACCTGAACTTCTAAGACCTCTTGAACTTACATATTTGATAATTACATATGTAACAAAAGTTGTGGGTACTCACTTATGTTTTACAGGAAATCAGTAAATTAGAGGAGCGTGTGTACAATGCATCAGCAGAAATTATGTCTATAAAAGAAGAACAAGTGCATTTGGAACAGGAAATAAAAGGAGAAGTGAAAGTATTGAATAACATCACTAATGATCTCAGGCTGAAAGACTGGGAACATTCTCAGACATTAAGAAATATCAGTTTACTTCAAGGTAAAATGTCTTGTCATTCCTCCAGAAAATGGTATATATTAAAATGTACTGATAGAAGCAGAGATTTGGTATTTGAAATTCTATGGTTTAAAATAAGGAGTTTTTGAGCATACATTTACTACAGATACCAAGAGGAAGGAATATTAAAATCAGATCAAGACAGAGTAAGGTAACCAGTAGGCTGGTATCCAATAAACCAATAAAATATCTCTTAAGGCCGAATGAGTTTCTCATTGTTAAAAATATTTCATAAGTACTGAAGACGAATATAAGTTTTCTGTAAGTACAAAGTTCTCTACTTGTCCATAATCAAGCTTGTTAATACTGCTTTTCAAAGCTTCCAGAGTCTTTATTACTTCTTACTTAACTGTATTATTAATTTAAAAGGCCTTTTGAAGTCTCTGAAATAATGATAGATTTGTCATTTTTTTTCTTCAGTTCCTGTTAGCAAAACAAGGTGAATTGAATCTTTTTTAATTAATATATATATAAAACATACATATTTTCATACTAGCTTTTAATTATTTTTACATTGTAGATATTTTTCTATATTATACTTTCAACCATTTGACTTTCAATATCCATTGTTTGACATTTGTCTCTTGTAATGAACACTTACCTATTTTTCTAATATGATCTGACAATCTCTTTTCACTGTATTTATTTTCACCATATTATGTGCTCTGTTTTCCCCCAGCTTGTTTGTTTATTTTGCTTTCCTTTCTTGATACTTTTGGATTGATTGATATTTTTCTCTTGTTGAATTCTCTCTCCACTAAAGTTACCAAAAAGATTTTGGAAAATTTATAGTATATTTCTATTTTATTGATTGTCACCCTTAAAATTTATCTGTAAGTCTAAAATTTATTTAGTATTTATTTAGTAAATAAATACTTTATTTATTTAGTATCTTTATTACTATCTTAAACTTCATCCTGAAATAAACAAGGAACCTCAGTTACTCTGACTGATCACCCTCTCCTCTAGCTTCCAGCTATATTTTAGTATAGTCCATTTCTATTTCATACATTTTTGCCGAGAATTTAGTCAATATTATTTCTATTATATTATACAGTCATATTTACTTTGATTTGCTCATAAAATTTACCAATTTTTCTCCCTTCTAAATGCATCTCAGTCATTTCTTCTGGGATTATTATTCTTACAACCGAAGTATATCTTTTGCAAGTTCATTCTGTGAAAGTCCATTGGTGGTGAGACATTTGGATTTCATTTTCTCTGTTTTGATCTTTAAAATTATTTTACTACATACACGTTTCTTAGATTGACAGTTATTTTGAATATTTCTATCAGTATTTCAAAGAAATTATTTCCTGGCTTCAGGCTTTTCTTTTTGCTTTTAAAATGACTGCTACCAATCTGCTAGTCATTCTCTTTGTCTTTAATATCTGCAGTTTTACTAATAATCTATGTTTATGTATTGAGAATTTGTTCATTTGACAGTGACAACTGGAAAGAAAAGGGAAGAAGCAGGTTTAAGCAGCAGTAGCCTAGAAGATCTGGCAGATTTTTATGATGATCTGAATATGAGGCAAGATTGAAAACAAAGTAGAAAATTAATGATCATAATGAATAGGAAATTGAGAAGCAAGAAGGATAGCTTTGGAAATTTAGGCAGATATTATTGGTGCTGTTATCATCTGAGGAATTTAAATATGGTATGCCTGGATTTGCTTTTCCAGTTACTGAGTAATTCTGATCTATAATAATATCATTACTAAATATTATAGTAATATATTACTATATATTATATACTATACTATCCTGGTAGGATTATCTTTAAGTTCTAAAGACATAGTGCAATCATTCTAAAGAGGTGATTGCCAGATGATCTCTGTTTTGCTGGACACAGAAAATTCAAATGACTGAATTAATGTTCAAACTCAGCACTCAGGAGTCACCTGGGAAATTGTGAAGGCAAGCAGTCAAAGTTTTCCCTGCAACCTCTCCATCTTGTTGATGGTATCTATATCAAGAGAATATCTATATCTAAGAATTCTATCTAATATTTTACTTGAAAAAGAACTCTTCTACTTATTTTCACCATTCTTTCTTTCCTCACATCTCTTTCACTTTCTCAGAATTCTCTTCCCTCTCATTCTACCCATTCTTCCAAGTACTCCTCAAACCTGCCCCTTCAACAGAGAATTCTTCAACCATTATTACTTACATTGATCTCTATCTCTCTGACAAATATCTGAGTTTATGGTCAGTTCCCACAATATGCTTTTTGGTTGACTACTGTGTATGGTTTTTTTCTTTCCTTTGAGGGTATCCCCAATGTCTTATAAGTCCTTATTTATACAATTCCACACAGTATCTAACTCAATATCTAACTGCCTAGTATGTGTACAACACCCATGTGGCTTTGTGCCATCATGGTGTTTTTTCTCTGCCCTCAGGTTCTTAGAACCTAGAAAAGTGTTAGGCATATATAAATATTTAATATGTAATTAGATTGTTTAATTTGGGGTTGTGTCTTCCTTATCATTATAAGGCATCACATTACTCAATAGTAGAGTATTCCTCCATTTGGGAAGGTCAGTCTTATTCATTCTATGTTATCACACAACACATAAAAGACTGTGAATCTCCTTATATAACTGTCTTGACAGATGACAAATCTGTTTAACCTGTGTGTAACAACCATGGTCAGTAATTGTAATTTTTTTTAAGGTCCTCCTGGACCCCCAGGTGAAAAAGGAGATAGAGGTGCCCCTGGAGAAAGTGGTCCACAAGGCATTCCAGGTCCAATAGGTATGGTAATCATAACTACTTAGTAATATGCTATGATGCTAAGTAATGTACATACAAGTATGTGTGTAGGGGAGAATAGTTATTTTATTTGCATTCTGTGTGTGCGTGTGTGTTAGAGGGATATTAAGTGTTCTAGTAGCCTAATTATATATAATACACTGAATGCAAAGCATTGACATGATTTTTGAAGAAAAGTAAATGCTTTATCCAGAGTCACCACATGGAGTTGTTCATAAGTCTAGGGAGTGTCGTCTATATCATAGACTGCACACAGTAAATGGCAGACCCAACTATAGATCACATGTGAAGGAAAACAGAAAAATCATCTTTGCATTGAAAAATTGCAAGTTATCTGATTTTTAAGACATAAAAAACTCATATTAGTGACTTATGAGTCCAAGGAAAATTGGATTATATTTGCTGTACAGTCTTTGACTGGAATATATCTGCTTAAACTCATAAAATCTGAATGTAAATATTGGCTAAATTATAGATGACTTTTACCTTTGCTGTCAGCTGCTCTCTGTATTTTACTGAGAGCAAAATTGTTTCAAATTATTTTCCTCTGTCTATATTTAATCTTGAAAGCAATATTTTGAAAGAAGACAAGAAGAAAAGAAGAGAGAGCAGGAACTTTCTTTGTTCTTAAAAATTTTTTTAAAGACAGTAACAATAACGTGATTGTCATCTTACTCTTGGCTGGAAATCAAATAACTCTGCATGCTGTTTGAAAGAAGGAAGTATATCTCATGGTCTAATTATAACTAGAATGGTTTGTGCTGCCAAAAAGTGTCTAAATAGCATGTTGTTAATCTTATTTTTCTGTCTTTGATTATATAAAATGTTCTTCCTGATCAATGTATTGATTAGCCCAAGTTACATCAGAAAAACAATTTTAAAAATGAAAAGCATAAATTTGATACCTGCCTGTCCTCTACCTCCTTATGCTTAAAAAGCAATATATAAAGTTTACATTAAAAAAGTTTTAAAAAAATATTTTTAAAATATATATATGTGTGTGTGTGTTGGATGAGTTGGTGTTGATGTGCCTTTGAAAGTACTATCAGGTAAGAATTTTTATTTAGAAAAATCTTTCTACTTGCACTCAGTAGGTATTAACAGTGGTGTATTAATGTCATAGCATGCTAAATAACCAGTATTAAATCAGCTCCCAGAACTGCTATTGTCAAGGGTCTGTCATCTCCTCCATTACAAACTGCAATTGTCAAAGCTTTATAACTCAGTCATAAAAATTCAGTCTGGGCCACCACTTGCCATACAAAAGCTTCATCTTGGGAACATCTTTTGCAGCACTTTCTGAATTATGAATATAAGAAATAAAAAGGATTTAAAATTTTCAGCTTTTGCTAATGCCATAAACAGATTCTATCGCAAAGATTCTTTTTCCTTTTTTTAAGCTTTTAGGGTCTTGCTTATAAATTGATGATGTATAATTGTTTACATTTAGAGGACACAAAGTGATGTCATAATGTGTTGTTCTTGGTACTGCTCATTTACACAAATAGGCATTATCCAGTCCTTCATAAAAGGGAGTTATGGAATATATGGTTGTTGAGGTGATACATTGACTCTTTTAGTTTTTCAGGTTACCATTTTGTTTGGTTCCTTGCAACAAGAGCTAACACAAAAATGTTCATTACATGCCAGGTACTTTTCTAAGTCTTTTCCATTTATTAGATCTTTCAATCCTCACATCAAACTGATGATGTGGGAATAAATAATATACCCATTTTACAGATCCACAGGGAGGTTAAATGTCTTGCTCAAGGTCAGTCAGCAGCTGGTGAGCAGCAGGGCTGGTATTTAAACCCAGATGGGCAAGATTGCAGAGTCTGTGCTTTTAACCAGTCTGCTAGACCACAGAAAGAAGACTGAAGAAAGAGCTAGGCACCTAGGATATGTGAATATTTATCAGACCAGACTTAATACAAGTGATTTGATCTCTCTAGTCTTATGCCCCTGCCTCTATAAAATGATGGATTTGGACTGGATAATGTAAGGTCCTTGGAACTCTAACATTCCATGACTGAGATTCTATGTCATTGTACCTAAATTGCATATGAGTTAGAAGCAGGTGCCAGACCCTTTCCACTGTCAACATATTATTATAGAAAACTAACTAATTGCTACCTGAAAGACTCAGAAATTCTGGTCTCCTGGAATAAAATTCAATAACAATGCTTATATTTAGAGGCCACATTTTCAAACATCATTGAATAAACAAGTTACATAATTTTATAGGCCATATAAGGTCTACTTAAACATCTCCCCTAATAGGGGACTAATGATGGACTGATTTCTATGAAAGTGTCCCATGTGCTTCACTTATGGATTTATTTGCTCACCTATTGAAAACGTTCATATTATAATTCATAGTCGAACAACTGTATTCTGAGTATCACTGTAACGTACCCAACAAGTCATCATCAGAGAGGCCCTTTCTGTCCCCACTATTGAAAGCAGACCTTAAGACATTCTCATATTTCCCAGTTGTTTCTAAAGTTATAACCTCCAAAATTATCTTCTTAATTTATCTGTTACCTTTCTCAACATGTCTCTTACCTACTTCTCCACACCGGAAGATCTGTTTGCATAAGGACATTTTTAAATTCCAGGAATGTATAGAGACTGGCACAATATATGTGCTCAATATATATTTGTTGAATTAATGGAGAAAATGGTAAAAAACAAAAAAAAAGGGAGTTATTTATGAGTAGCATTTTATAAAAAGTGGGGGAATGTTTTAAAATTATTTTTAAATGAGAGAATTTAGTATCAGTGTTTTCATTTGTAAATTTGAGTGACAGATGTCAACTACAAGAACAGAGGTCTGACTACCTTGCTTATATAATGAAGTAAGGTATAAATAAATAATAATTGATCAGCTTGTCCTGAAAACAGATGTTAGGTTCTTTTTTAAGCTGTGAAATCCAGCCAATATATACTACAAAGTATAAATTGAGTTGAAATGTCTTGCCTTTACTAATATTTCTAAACATAATTTATCATTTTTTCTTTATATATCTGCTTAATTTCTGTTGGAATCAAAGTTTTATACTGGGTTGAACAATATTTCTTGACTATTTAGAATAATATACTTTTTAAACTGAGCACTTCTTAGGGATAATTAGCCCAGTTTTAGGTATCTATATGAATGAACCTCAAAAAGTGATTTTTAAATGAATTAAGTATGCATAAGCCTTGCCTCCTGGAACTTACAAACTAAAGGCAACATTCTAAAAGATTGATGTCAAAAAAAGATATATAATCAATTTCTCATAATGTGCCTCCCCAAGGAGTCAACCAAAGATTGGATTAATGGGAATTCTGTGAATTGGTAATGACACTTCAAATAACATACAAACTATTTTATAGTAGTTTATCTCAAACCACTGAACTCTAGGATAAAATGTTTTATTCTATAGTAATATAACATTTGCTTTTATGTGTGGTTTTTATGGTCACCATAGAAATATGGAGTAAAAAATTGGCCATTTTCAGTATTAATTTAAGCATACGAAACCTCAGATTTGTATAAGTATATAATGTATACACATAAGTAAATCGGTGTTTGTGTGTGTGTGTGTGTGTGTGTGTGTGTGTGTGTTTACATTGTTTGGCATTACAATGGATTTTGTAAAAAACGGGTCCATGAAAGATAAAGTAATATATTCCAGAACTAGGACCTAAATTTTTTTATAAATACTCTTTGGTACTTTTGACTGAGTTATGTTTTTCTAAGGTAAATCATAAGAATTCGATTTTCAGCTATGCACTTTAAAGTTACCATTTCAGCTGCGGCAAAATCCTGCCATTTGACAATTCCTGGTTGACTACATAAGCCCTCTGACTGAAACTCTGAGGTTTATTTTTTCTTGTTTACTTTTAGTTCTACTAACAATGTTATTTATTGAAGATTTACAAGGTACTAAATGCACAAATGTTTACACTTACTGTGTATACTACCTTCCAATGTCACATATGGTATTTTAGAAAAGATACTATCCCTCTGTTTGGAGATTCACCTGTTTTATATTCATTTATAAAACTAGATGATTTCATTAAACTCTCAAATCTGTATAAAAAATGAATTATTACTCACTTTTTTTTCTTTATTAACCACATAGGTCCTCCAGGTCTTAAAGGTGATCGGGGAGCAATTGGCTTTCCTGGAAGTCGAGGATTCCCGGGATCAACAGGCAGGCCAGGTATTATGATAATGAGTATTTTCTTTATAGAATATGTAAAAGTGACACCAGTTCATATATATACATATTTTTTTAATTCTTGAATAACAAAAAATAGTCATCATTGTATAAATAGTAGCATTCACATACAGTTTATCTTATGGTGTAAAACATTTTGAAACTGATTTCTGCTCACCCAAGGAACATTTCCATGTCCCCAAGAAAAATAATTTTTAAAAAACCCCACAGGAACTATAAATTCTATACAATCATAAGTCATCCTCAAGAATGCTGTCTATCTTAGAAAAATAGAATGGAAAGACTGGCAAAAAAAAAACACAAACAAACAAGCAAAGTATAAATATTCCTTTAATCACCACTGGCCAAACCCTGCAAAGTTACAGTTAGCAAAATACAGAGAAGTCTGAAATATTAGCCCTTGCAAAATAAACTGCCTGCTATTATCTATTAGTGCTTAATAATCAACATTGTTGTAGCATTTTAAAATGTACACACATGATGATATAATTTCTACTGGCTGTGCCAGTAGCCTAAGCTTAAATTGCGAGCTTTGCACAGTAATTCTAGAAAGGGTTAGGCTGGTTGTTTCCTAATTTCAATGTAAATTATCATTAAGAGAATAGCGGTGACTCTGGCCTGTCATTCCAGCTACTTAAGAGGCTGAGGTGGGAAGATTACTTGAACTCAGTCAGGAGTTGAAGAGGCAACAGTGAGTTTTCTCCCTATAACCCAATGAGAAAATAGCCTCTCTTCTAAAGTTTAATCAAAAGGATGATTTTGTAAAGTTTATGTCAAGTATATAATCTTAGGTTGTTCACTTTGGGCAATTAAACATTTGTCAAGGTGGTTTGAACTTGAAATTCATGGTAACATGTACTTATTCTATTTATATTATTTTGTTTTCCCTCTTAGGAAACATAATAGTGAGTATAGTACATATTGAATCCTAGATTTGAGTCCTATTCCCCTACTCAGTCTCTTTCTGTCTCAGTTTGCTTATCTACAAAGAAAAGCTAATAATAGAACCCATGATTTAGATTTTCTGTAGAAAGTAAAGAAATTCATAAATGCCTTAAATTGTTTCCAGAAGTTCCTGTCCCATAGCACATTCTCTATATATGTTAGTTATTAGGTACAGCCTGCACAAGCTCAAGGTTTCTTTCTATTCTCAAACTCCCAGAGTTCAACAAATACTCAATTAGTCAAATTACTTGGGAGAGTGTTCTTTGATGCAATCTCCTAGTCAACACAGTTTGATCCAGGTTCATTGCATGTTGGAGATAGACACAGCACAGCTGCTGCACTCAAGGAGCAGGGGCAGAAATATGTGTAAGCAATTAGCTATAACGTGATATGGCGAATCATCAACATTTGTGAAGCTGCACAAAATGCTATGGGAGAGTTTGGAGTGATTCATTCTATACCACAAGAACATGTAGTACAGAGGAAGTAGTGTTAGATGCTTAGAATTTCTTTGGGTTTGTATATCTCAGACGTTAGCAGACATCAGAATTACCTGCAGGGCCTGATAAAGCAGCCTACTGAATTCTGCCCCCAGAGTTTCCAATGCAATAGGTCTGGGATTGCGCTTGCTCCCTGGCTGATGGAGGGTGATTCTGCAGATCCAGGGACCACAATTTGAGAACCACATCTTTAGGTGAAGCAAAGGGGTGGATGAACAGAGAAACTTTTCAGAAAAGAAAAGCAAGAAAGAAAAAAAAAAAAAGGTAATAAATCCAAAAGATATCCTTAGGATATTACTTCCTTATTAAAATGCTCAAATTTTGTAAAAATGTGAGTAGCAGTGTCTGGTGCTGCTTTAGTTATGTTGCAGATTAAAAGAAGAGATGATACAATGTCCCTCCTCTATGAGAATCTAAAGAAGGTGGTAAGATTAGAAATAAATTCAATAACTGACATGGTGTTACTGATGACAGCCTAGACTGTAATCAAAACATTATCAGATTTTGAAGAAGTTCAGAAAAGAGCCCCTCATATTTATTTTCTCTTATCTTCTCTCTCCTTTTCTTCCCAACCCTGCTCCCTTCCTTCTACATGTATTGAGTGCACACGATCTATATAGGATACAATGCTAGATACAGGGAAATGAAAGGTGTAGAAGACAGTCTATAATAAGATACACAAACGTGAGAAAAAGAGACTTTACAATGTCTCCATGTACAGCAGATCTATAGAGTAGAGCATTTATAAGATCTAACATATTTACTTCAGAAAGTTTGGAGGGATTAATTTAAGTGTAACCTTCCACGTCTTCAAAATCCCTAGAGGACTTTGTTTTAACTTGTTAAACCTTGTTAAACAAAGTGGAACTTCCAGCATGCAAATATTGCACTTCTCTCCAGTAAGCCTTTAGAAGTGCATCCAGAGTCTGATGATTCCCCAAAGGGGGAGTTCTGGTCATTTTTTTTTTTTTACTGACCAACCTGTAATTTCTTTCTTTTATTTTTTTTATTTCAGCATATTATGGGGGTACAGATTTTAAGGTTTCAATAAATGCCCATTCCCCCCTCCCCCCACAAGTCTGAGTTTCCAGCATGACCATCCCCCAGATGGTGCACATTGGTCATTTTTAAGATTTCTAAAACTTTAGACCATACATAATTTATTTATTTGTTCAAAAAACATGTATTGAACATTTTCTTTATGTCATTCATGGAGATATCGATAGATTGTCAAATATATAAGCCTGGAATTCAGAGGAGAGGCCAGAGGTAGACAAAGTTGTAGCTATGATCATATAAATGGTATATATGAATCATGTTAAAAGGAGACAAAAATCTCACGTTTATTTATTTATTTATAAGAAAAGACATTTAGCATTTTAAAAGAAAAAGAGTAATGTATGAAAAAAGCACAATAAATTAATTTTTTATTTGTCATAGAATCCTAAAGTTACGAGGATATTAAGTCGGTCAGTGCTCTGGCTTGAGCAATTCTATTCCCAAATATACAAGACAAATTGCTATGTGAAAAGACTTCCAAGAATAATGCATGGTCTCATTTTCTTTATTGATTTTAAAATGATAAAATTAAGCTTGTTTATTATATCATCTTCTCAGAGGTGAATTAGAACTAATCAGTTACACCTTTAACTCCCCCTTCCCAATTATTTTTAACTTTTTAAAACTTTTCTTCTTGAACAATCTGAAATTTTATACTATCCTTCATAAAAAGATACCATCAAAAAAAAATAGGAAAGGTTTTGGGTACTTTGTGCTAGCAATGATTTTTGCTAGTTTAATATTACCCAAAATGACTCAATCGTAATGAAGAAGTGAATTTAGTGATATAAAGTGTAATCACATTATGCAAAACAATCAGAGAATTAAAAATTCTCTTTGTCATAGTACTGATATGGAATGGTTAGCATTTCATTAAATCTTGAACATAAAATTTCAGTTGGGAATAATTTACACTTTTTAAGTGCCTCAAGTCTCATGCTACTCATCACACATTGAATTTTTTAATTTCCTAAATTAGGGCCCAAAAATCTTCTCTAAAAGTTGCATAAAGATAAATATTCAAAATGAAGCATAGATAAAATAAACTAGAAAATAAAAACCAAAAAATAAGCAAATGTTAACACTAAAATTAAATATAATCATACCATAAAAAGGAACTGAGGTGAAAAAGCCCTTCTCTCTCATAAACTGAAAATAAAATCACAGAGAGCAGATTCTAACTAAGTTTTGGTAGATGAAAAACTGAAATAAGAGCTACTGTCTCATACATGCATCTCGTATGGACAAGGTGCTTTATGAACATTGTTGCTAACTTTCAGTGTGGCTCTGCATTGGAAGGTGTCATTTTTTCATTTTATATAGAAGAATAAACGTTAGCTCAAAAAGATGTAAAGACTTGTCCTGAGCCACATACCCTAGCAAGTGGCAGAGCAAAATAATTCAAGACAAGGGTTTTTGAATTATTGTTATTATTTCAAAGTTCATGAGTTTTAAACTACATCCTCTGAGCTCTTGGATGGAAACATAGGGGTCCTTGATTCTGTTGGAGGGTGTCAAAAACAAAGATTTTGATTTAGAGGCTGACAACACTAGGATCAGCTCTACATTTATGCCAAGATGATAATTACTTGCAAAGTAGATATCTTATGGCTGTTGGAAAAAAAAAATCAATAAGCAAGAACAGCACCACTTTCATGAAATGAAATTGTCATGATTAAAATCTCTTGTTGGCACTAAAGAAAGATCTCCTGAAGAACCCTTTAAAAATGGTACTATGGATGAAGTGGCAATTCATTAGCAAAAGGTCTAGCAATGTCTCCACATGTATTTGAAGCCTGACCTTCATATAAAATGATGATATTTGTCCCATACCCCTGTGCAAATGGATGAGCTTTCTCAAAACCAAGTGCCCAGCCTGTAGGTTTGGATGGCCCAAGGCTCTTCCTACCCTTCCCCATGACTGAGATCATCAAAATCTCAGAACTCCCAGAGATTTATTGACAGTTAAGTCTTTGGGATATTCCCATCTCAAAAAATGGAAAATAAGATAAACAAATTGCAATAATAGAAATGGGAGAACTAGGTGTGGAATGTGTTGGAAGGCTCTGGGCTTCCTGGGGGTGGGAGGAAGACACAGTCAAAGAAAGAGGACAAAAGGAGAATGAGTAAGTACAAAACAAACTTCTTACATTTCAGCATTGCCTCTTTGGAGAAAATTGGACATTTTGTGCCTTTGTAAATAAATAACTTGAGATAGCACATAGTGGGTTCATGACAATCAACATCAACATTATTATTATATTTCAAAACATGTAACTGTTATATATTTATATTTTACATTACCTTGTCACGCTCTATCCATTTAAACCAAGCATTGTGAATTGCCCTGGTTAAAAACATTTTTTTTTTTTTTGCTATTTTTTTCAAGGACAAAAAGGCCAGAAAGGGGAAAAGGGAAGTGGAAACACATCAAGTAAGTTTATTGTTTTTTATTTTCTGTGTGCATTTCTGTAATAAATACGCTTGGGATATTAGTGACCTGGGCTTGAGACAAATGTTGAGAACTTTGGTATTGATCCATAGGGAGTCTCTGGAAGCCAACGACTGTTTTCTACAAATAAAGCATGCTAACTACAGTAAAACAAATAGATTATATTATGCGACTCTTGCAATCTCATTATCCATTTGTGTTTTGCTTTTGTGATGAGCACTCTTTTCTAAAAAATTCCACATGGAAAATTGCTCAGTTTTCAAGTCGATTTCCATCCACAGAGGGAAAAATCAAGCTTATGAAAAGAAACAATGATAGCCTCCTTACTTACTAACTGAGCTAACTGAAACCTCCTATGTAGGAATTTGGACAACTTAAGAACCTTGAAAGATTAAGTCTATAATGGCTGGGATTTTTTTTGTTTTATTAAAAACTTTCAAAATTGGTGTTCCATGCCTTAGACCTTTAAACCTGTAACTGAATAGATTTTACAGCAGGAATCATGACAGGTGGAATGTTGACCTCATGTTGCAATGTAGCGAATCTTTAAATTGGACAGTAACAGCTAAATAGTAGATGAGATATGGTCGATTTGCCATGCCATGAATTAATTGGTATGTCTAGGCTGAATGTACAATGATATAATGAAATGGTTATGAAGAGGAATGAAGAATCACCACTTGATTTCTCAGAATTAATCACAGGCTCCTCCTTCTGTATTACCAATAGGAGCTACATGTGATATGTGTTTCTATGGGAATAGCTGATACAAACACAGTGATGATAATCTTTACTCAGTGGGGATCTCTTTTAGAGAGATTATGGCAAATCCCTTCATGTACCCAAATCTAGCAGTTTTTAGTTGTAATCATTGGGCAAAAATATACAGTACCAATTTCTCTGCTTTAGCAAGAATAGTGTTAACCTAATATTGTATATAGGTGTCACATTTAGACAATTTAGGGTGTGGTTGTGAATACCAGCCATTAAAGTAATAATTAGAGTAACCATGACACTTTCAAAATTGAACACAGGGTATTATTGTTTGTCTATTGAGTGCTTTAGTGTTAATGACTATTATTGTTCTCATTATATAGAGATAATAGAAACATTAGCATATCTTTTCCTCATTTGTGTCCATTTATTCTTTAATTTAATTTATTATTTAATGTATTCTTTTGTATACTTTTTCCTCCATTTAAGACCCTTTCTTTCTCTTTTTCATACCATTTATTTTTGGTTAAGATCCTCTGATAACTTTCTCTTCCCTGTCTTTATCTCTACCCTTATTTTATCTTTTGTTTTCATTATCTCTTTTTCCTGAGGCTTCCTCTCAGCTTCTAAACCCTGACTACAGTCAAATAAAACACTTTTCTATTTTTAGTCTGTAAACTGAGCATCCACGCTGCCTTTTGTTACCTAAGGTTATCACATGCTTTGAACATATTTTTCAGATATGTTCAGAAATGTTTTTGGTTAGATATTTTCAAGGCTATTTTGGCATTTAAGAGCATACTTTCTTTGAGAAAGCAATGAGAGAGATATTTCTGTGTAAAAGTGTGTTTGGCCTCTGAATTCCCCTTCATGCCCTCTCTATGTAGAATGTAAAACAACTCCATTATGTTTCAAAAAGGGAGAAAGAATCCTATACGTAAACATCGAATATGGTGTGGTCTGCTTTTCGCTTACATAATATGCCAGTTATTTATCCACATCATTGCTTATGCCTCTACCTCTTTTCTCTCAATGGCTACGCATTATTCCATGATGCAGCTTTATCATAATTACCCTAATATAGCCATTCAATCCCCTAGTCCTGAACACTTAATGATTTTTGTTTGCTTTGGTTTGGCCTTAATAAACAGTGCTACATTCGGCATTGTCATATGTGATCTTGTGGGAATACTTCTTAATAGAGAATCTGCTAGAAGTAGAATCAATGGTTCAAAGGTTATATACATTTGACAATTTGATGAATTCTTGTAAATGCCTCCAACAAAGTTATACCAACTTACTCTGTAGGAAAGTGACTAATTTCCCATATTTTAGTTAGTTCTGATATATGAAAATTTGTATTGAAATATTTTAATATACTTTTAAAAATATTTTTCAGGTGTGATTTATATATACTAAAAATAATCATTGATTTCCTCTTTTACATCTGTGTCAGGACCAGTACATCTCTCTCGGCCCTTTTAAGATCAGGTGGGTTGGGCGAGACACCCTGTGCTACCATCTTATTAAAAGGCCCTTCACCTCTGGACAAGTCATCTGCACAACTGACTTTCAAGATCCCTTTGTGGCTCCTCCAAATGACCTTGGTTCCCGTGTCATGCCTGACTTCCACATGACTTCCTCTCCTGGTTCTTGGTGCTATTTGGGCCTCTGCTCCCATGTTCATACCTCTCCTTACTCCAGTTACCCCACCATCATCCCAATCCCCTAGCACCCCTTGCCTGGACACCTTCCATGTGCTGACTTGACTGGTGAGCAGCTCCAACCAGTCCTCAGACAGCAGCCAGGAGTTCTCTGCTGCCTACTCACCTAGAGTCTTGCTGAACCCAATTTAATCTATTGGGTTCTAGGATAAATCTCATGGATACTGATGAGCTGTGGGTTCTTTATATTCAAGACATTATTCACAACCAGGGTTAGGGATGACATAGAAGAAAATCCATTCATTCAATCATTTATTAACTCGTTCATTCATTATAGTTCCATTGTGTACCTCCATGAGCTGGTTGTAACAGCTGATAAGACAGATATTGTCCCTGGCTTATAGAATGATTGTCCCTGAGAGACATATACAAATAAACAGGCAATTATATCAAAGTTATACTGGGGGAAGAACAGGGCTGGATAGGTATTCAGAGGAGGTAAAGTTTTTTTAATTCCTTAGAATATTTTAAGAAATTGATTTTGATTTACTCAGTTGACTTTCCAATCTTATTCTCCAAATTACAGCATTTTTTTTTTAACTTTTAAAGTGAGGTAAAGTGGAGCTTGGACAGTGTATTCAACACATTTAAACCCAAAACAAAACTTGTTTTCTTATATTACCTGGCCATTTCAAACAAAAACATTTTGATCATTAAAAAATACTGGTGATTTTTTTTTTTATTCCAAAAAATTCTTTGCATGTTATGCTTTAAGTATCTAATACATATCCTGGAGAAAAAGAAATACTTCAGTAGAACTGGAGATATTTAATGCAGGTAAAGAAAGAAGAAAAATAAAGAGCCAAGAGAAAAAGTATGAAAAGGCAAACAAAAAAAGGAATAGGAAGAACATGGGATTCCATGTTATTTTGAGGTTTTATTTACTGATTAAAAGACCACCACATTTTCACAGCTGTCCTCTCCTTGACCTTTTAACACATAGCCCCTGGCTTTGCACCATTAAGGTTCTAGTAGAATTCGAAGTAGTATAACTATGTGTGTCTCACCTTTTCCCTTTCCTCCCCTATAAAATGGACATGTTGACACCTACCTCACAGGGTTGTTGTGAGGATGAAATAAGATATTGTGTGTTTGACGATGCTCTGTAAAATCATAAAGTACTTTAAAGACGTAAGAGGTGGTTCACAGTGGTCTTCCTGAACTGGAACTGCTGTTACTGGCTGGCAAAATGCAGACATTTTAAATCGGTAATCAGAACATCAGTGACAGAGAAATGAAAATGTAAGAAGCCAAATAAATGTCATGAACAAAAAGAGAGATGCTAGAGAAAAACAGAAGATTTTATATTAGATAGAGCAACACAAGTATGCCCACAGCACAAATCAATGAGTTTGTCTGAGTTGAGCAGAAGAGCATTAGTTATAAATAAAAGAAGCTACTAAACAGAGTGCACGCCAGAGGCCAGAAGCTGTCAACAGAGGTCAGAACAAAATGTCAGGCTAATAAAACAAGAGTCCAGTCTCTGAAGGACAAAGCATGAGCCCAAGACGCTGTTGATGAGACGGTTCCAAGGAGGGTTGAAACAAATTAGAATTGTCGATGGTAGTCTGGGTTTATGCCTGCATGACACTAAAAACTCCAGAAAATATAAAAGGTGGGGGAAGGAGGAATTAGCCAGTCTTCCAGATAGCCCTGAATATTAGCAAGCTAGCAACACTGAATGGCTGGTTAATGTGAACATCTACAGATAAGCTGTATCTCTTTGTGATTTACTTTGATGCAACTTCCTATCCCACTATGCACTGGAGGCCATGTAGAATAATGGGAAACTCTATTCAGCAGACCTTGGTCTACTTTGGGCACAGAAAAGCCCTGATCCCTGAGACTCTGGGAAGATAACTCCAGGGGATTTAGCTCAGTAGATTGTTAAGTGTGAAATACTAACCCAAACTTTCCAAATTAGGGGTGAAAGGCTTCTCTTCTCTCTTTAGGCAAAAATAGCTGCTGAATGCCAAACTCAAATGCACCAATGACATCAACATTAATAATGTATTAACATAATGAAGAGAAAAGAAGTCTGCACCAAGCTTTCATGCTCTTCACAATGGATTGTCTGCTATGTTCTTACCCAAATTTGAAAGAGTACATGTTTCAGTCAGACAGAAGAATTCCTACCATTCAGTTAAACACTTGTGTGAGGCTCTGTCCTAAATATCCCATTTCCAAGGTGTGATTTGGTAGTATTTTTTTACTAAGATTTGCTCATGTCCAATGAGACTATAACTAAAATGTGACTTTTGAGTTATTCTTTTGAACCTCATACAATGATAACAAATAATCCATTTTTCTTTCATTTGATTTCTATTGAGGACTCAGCTCAATCTTAAAATGAAAATTGATCTTTCTCAAAGTATTCAGTTGGTCAGAGTCAAACCTTCTTCTGCAATCACCAAATAATTCTGGTGATAAACATTTAGAGAACCCTTGCTGTGTACCTGCTGCTTCTGATGTATCCTCACACCTAATCCTCAGAAGAGACCCTGTTAAGAGCTATTATTATCCCCATTTTATGAATTAGAAACTGAGGCTGACTGCTCATAAGTGGGAAAGCAGAAACTCAAAGCTGAGTCTATCAATTGCCTAAGTCCCTATGACTCCATTCAATACTCCCATGCTAGTTGTATGTATTTTTATATATAAATGCCATGAAGGTGTAGTGTGGAGAGTGTGGAAGGAGAGAGAGGGAGTGGTAGGGAGAGAAGAAACAGAGAGATTTGTAATGAACAGTTTGTTTTTCTAGGATGGGCCCAATAATTTTAAGACTTACGGAGATAAAAATTCTTACAGCATATCAAATTCCAAATAAGCATTCTCAATTAATCTTTATTTGCTTATGTTTCCACCTTTATAACTACCCCAGTGACTGCCTTAAGTCTCTCTCCAAAGCATATTACTCAGAAACATAGACCTCCTGGAACACTCACGAAGCTTCCATTATCAGTAATGAGAGTTGCTTACGCGCACCTGGGGAAGAGCCACATGTTAATATTCAATCTTTATTTTGGTAACTGGCTTAGCTTTAACATTTTTCATGATCATTTGACTGCTATGATGTCCTTCTTTTTTTATTATATCTCTTCTGTAACTCCACAATGTACTTTCTCAGTAGCACTAGCTATGACTTAGCAAAGCTGAGACTATCTGAGCATTGGTGGCTCTGGTTAACTTAGACAAATGCTGCACATTCTTGACAGTGAGGTGGTGTTTAAAGCTTTCTGTAATTCCGCAAATTGTTGCTTGAAAAAACACGCCGCATTCCATTAACACACTAGATGTGTTCCTTAATGGTTTGTATCACTAGCACAGGCATACTTTGGAAATATTGTGGGTTCAGTTCCAGACCACTGCAATCAAGTAAATATCATGATAAAGAAAGTTACACAAATGGTTTTGGTTCCCCAGTGCATACCGAAGGTATGTTCACATTACAGTGGAGTGTATTAAGTGTGAAATGGCATTGTGTCTTTAAAAACATTGTATACGCCTTAATTCTAAAATACTTTATTGCTAAATATACTCACAATTATTTGAGCCTTCAGCAAACTGCAGCCTTTTTGCTGGTGGAGGATGATGATGGTGCTGACTGATCAGAGTGGTGTTTTCTGAATGTTGGAGGTGGCTGTGGCAATTTCCTAAAATAAGACAATAATAAAGTTGGCCATATTGATTGGCTCTTCCATTCACAAAAGATTTCTCTATAGCAGGCAATGCTGTTTGATAGCATTTTACTCACACTATAACTTCTTTCAGAATTGGAATCAATCCTCTCAAGCCTGCCGCTGCTTTATCATCTAAGTTCATGGAATATTCTCAATCCCTTGTTGTCACTTCATTAATGTTCACAGCATTTACACCAGGAGTAGTTTCCATTTCGAGAAACCACTTTCTTTGTTCATTCCTAAGAAGCAACTCCTCATCCATTCAAGTTTTGTCGTGAGATTACAGCAATTCAGTCATATCTTCCGACTCCACTTCTAATTCTAGTCTTTTTGCTATTTCCACCACATCTGCAGTGACTTCCTTCACTGAAATCTTGAACCCCTCAAAGTCATCCATGAGAGTTGGTATCAATTTATTCCAAATTCTAGTTAATGTTGATATTTTTACCTCTCCCCATGAATCAGAAATGCTTATAATGATATTTAGAATGGTCTTCAGTTGACTTTTCCCAGATCCATCAGAGAAATCACTACATCTGTGGCAGCTTTAGCCTTACAAAATGAACTTCAGTTCATAATGTAAAAAGATAGCATTGACATGGTTAAATTCCCAGTACTTTAGCAATGGACTAAATGGCTATTATCATCATGCAAAAAAAAAAAGTGTCTTGACTTTGGTGGAGCTTATGTTGAAAAATAAAATTTTATTTTTTATTTTTATCTCTTAATTTCATTTTTCCATGAACTCTTTGAAGTCCCCTTGTATAATAATGAAAGATTCTGAAATACTGTGAAAATTTCCAAAATATGAGGCAGAGACATGAAGTGAGCACATAATCTTGGAAAAATGGCACCTATAGACTTGCCAGAGACAGAGTTGCCCCAAACCTTCAATTTGTAAAAAACACAGTATCTATGAAGCACAATAAAGCAAAGTGCAATAAAATGAGGTATGCCCATATGCCTTGCAAATTCAAATACAGATTTTAATCAGTTATAGATCTAGTGGTTAGCACTTGTCTGTTTAGTCCCTTTCCCTGCTGATTCAACAGAGCCAAAACACATCAGCCAGGTCTTTTGTACTAGCAAAATTTGAAATTCATCCAGCAATGTGCAAAAATGCAGATGAAGTAGAGACCCAACACATTGCTTCCCATTCCTCCACAACCTCTGAGGACCAAATAGCTTTCCTGCCCCTCTTCAGAGAATTGGCTCCTGGCTTCCAATTCTGTAATAAGAAATTCAGCATTACCTTCATACAAGATGGTTTATTTTGTTCTAATTAAAGCACTTTCTGAATATAGGTTCATGGCCTATTATTTGCTTCCCTCAGCATAACATGACTGGAAATGCTCTGCCTTTATAATGTGCATCTCAGTGAGTTGGTTTCATAAAACAATACAGTTAGCTTGTTTGCACATGGCATGTCTAAGAAATTCTCCCATTATGGCTTAATCTACAGATTCTTAATTCTTTTCTGAGGTGCTGTGTTTATTTTCATTTTCTGCTTCCCCTAAACTCTTACTCACATACCATTTAATCCACTTCAAAGTAAAATACCTGAATCTCTGGTAGTCTAGGGAGCTATTTAAAGGAATTCTTATGTTAATTATTCAGCAAAATGGCCCTCTTTCCTAATGATGTTTTGTGTAATTCTGGATTTTTATTTCCTAGAAATGTTGAAAGACAGGTAAACCCCTTTAATTGAATACAAATGTTCAGTTTCTATGGATAATATTTTCATAAAAACTTTACATGGCTTACAGCAAAATTTGTCTGCTATAAAATGATTATTGGTTCTATTACAGAACATCTTCCACCCTAGACTCTCTCCTGTTATATTCCCACTTAATCTTGTTACTCACTACATCTCCTATACCTAGAAATACTGTTTCTGTATCAAAAGGACATGTAATATATTAATTACAGAGAGGTGCTTGTTTTTCCATTCTTGTGATACTTCTCTTAGTAGAATAGGCTCCAGTTCTAACCAGGATAATACAAGAGGTGCTTTATCACCATTGTTTTTTGTGGCTTAGTAGAAATCCATGGTACGCATATACCACATTTTATTAATCCACTCATGTATTGATGGGCTCGTGGGTTGTTTCTACATCTTTGCAATTGTGAATTGTGCTGCTATAAAGATTCTGGTGCACATGTATTTTTTATAGGATGTCTTTTGTTCTTTTGGGTAGATGCCCAGTAATGGGATTGCTGGATCAAATGGTAGTTCTACTTGTAGCTCTTTGAGATATCTCCATATTACTTTCCATAGAGGTTGTACTAATTTGCAGTCCCACCAGCATTGTATGAGTGTTCCTATCTCTCCGCATCCTCACCCACATTTATTGTTTTGGGACTTTTTGATAAAGGCCGTTCTCACTAGAGGTAACTGGTTTTGATTTGCATTTCCCTGATGATTAGAGATGTTGAGCATTTTTTTCATATGTTTGTTGGCCTTAAGTCTATCTTCTTTTGAAAAGTTTCTGTTCATGTCCTTTGCCCACTTTTTGATACGGTTGTTTGAGAAATAATAGATGCAATAACACCTAGAGTTTATAGAATGACCCCTCTATACCAGGCGCTCTGTAAAGCACTTATATACCTCTTTCACTTAAGCCTCACAAGGAATGTATCATTCTGATGTTTTTCCCATGAGGATTTTAGAGCAATTAAGTAAACTTTACAAAATCACACAACTAATCTCTATGTGGTAGGTCCACAGTTTTAATCTTGGTTTATCTGATTTTAAATTCCAGACTTGGGGATAACATACCGTACCTTAACCTCACTTTACCACTGGAACCAATTTGAAATACATTTGTGAGCTAAATTAATCCCTGCAACATTCCTATCAGGTAATTACAAACGATGTCAGAACAAATGAAGAAATTAAAGTGAAAGCATGCAAAATGGTGTGGCCAAAGCCATAAAGCAAGTTTGTAGTGCAGCTGAGACTAGAGATCTGGTCTCCTGGCTTCTAGTCTAGAGACACATCCTGTTTTATGATACTAATTCTGCTTCTTCTCTGATGAGTAAGAACTGGGGTCCTCTGTTGCCATACAGCATGTGGTACTTCAACCTAACTAAGAGCCTACATGTTGAGATACATCGTTTTTGTTTTTTTTTTCAAGTTTTTTTCTCTGTTTTTCTTTCTGTTATTACCCAAACAAAATGTGCCATTGCATATTTTTTTCTTGTTCCTAAAACAGTATCTACTTTGTTTACACTAGCATGATCAAGGTTTAAGTTAAGCAAATAGAAGTAATGTTTCATGGAGAGGAGAAACATCTTCCTTATTGGATTTTTGGGATTTCAAGTGATCTGTCCCTAATACTTCTAGTCACTGCTGTTGGACATGAGTTATGGTATCTCCTGTCAGGTGCAGACGTAATGAAGATCATACACACTATACTCTAATACTAAATGCAATAAGTCAGTCTGATCACAGCTTGCAGGGACCTGAACATTTATGAGCACAAACAAAATATAGCACACAGTGCCGTGGAGAATGTATATTGTCTTTCGATTACCCCCTACTCCAAGTCAAGGTTCAAACACTCAGTTATCTTGGAAAATTATATTCTCTTCATAAAAAGTCAGAAAATTCTGTACTAAGTTGTTGGTCCTGCCAACAATTTGACAGATTAAACTTTAGTGGATCAAATTTGGGATGTTTTTCTCTCTAAGCATCTCAAATTCCCTACAATTTATGATTTCACAGGCTCCCAGAATAAATTCCAGAATAAAATATAATCAATAATTCTATTATTACTGTTAATATACTACTTCACAGTTTAAAATACATTTTTTCACATATTGTCACATTGAAAACCTCAGTCCTAAGAGTTAGGTGTTATACTTATTTTATAAATGGGCAAATGAAGACACAAAAAGGTTAAATCATTTATCAATGTCTCAACAGCTTATAAGGAGAGACACCAGGACTTTTTACAAGGTCTGGCTAAGGTCTACATTTTCACAAATCAGAAAGAACAGTAAAATAATTTATGCTATTTTATGATAGGAGCTTTCTAAGTAAGCTTTGTTCAGTATCTTAATGAATGACTTGATTATTTTTGCTCCTCAGGGTTTTAAGTGGAAAGCAAAATTTTAAATACTCTACAAATATGTAAATAAAATTCTCCTTCTATAAAGTTTTAAAAGTTCTTTCTAAGTAACTGTAGAAATTAAGACTCAGTAATGAAATATTAAATAATAACAAGATTGCTCTAAAAGGACCGCAAATATCCCAAAATGTGAACACTATCATTGAAGACAACAGTATGCTCTTTGAAATGCAGATGTTTTTCTTTAATTGGCAATTTGAAAAATCCAGAGGTAGTCACAGTATTATAGTTCATGATACTCTGAAGAGAACTTGTGCTAACATGCTCTGCTTTTGTCTCACTTGACTTTTGAGTTTTGTTTGCTTTTTTCTCCCACAGAGACTTATTCTTAACAATCACATCCCTGTGGTGATCTATACAACTAGGGAGGTTTACTCTTTTCAAATGCTAAGTTCTTTTTTCATCTTAAATATTTACCATTTCTTGTAACAAGATTATTTTGAAGTCCTATCTTATGGTTCAATTCAAAAACCGACAAATTAAATATAAGAAATAATGGTCTTCCACTTTTTCATTTTCATACATCAAAGTAATTTACTCAAAATTAGGTTAGATTTACAGAATATCATCCGAGTTTAGTATAGTTCATTTTGAAGCAACAAATTCTTAATCTTTTAGTTGTTCAGTAGTTGAACTGTAAGTGTTTAGTATGATCATGGTTGACTTTGCTAACTAATTAATTTCCAGCATAATTAAAATATCTACTGCCCAGCTATTCTGCAGTCTTCAAATGTTGGGGGTCATTTTGTTCTTCAATATCAAATTAAATTGTTTGAGCACCAACTCCATGTTCTGAGGCAATTCTGGTGCCTCCTATCTACAACATTTTGATGAAAATAGAGAAAAATTATATTCTTCTATGTCTTATTCAAATTTTGGCCACCTCTGTGGTCATGGGTTTAATGGTGTTTCCAAAAATTCATGTTCACCCCAAACCTCAGAAGGTGGGCTAATTTGGAAGATGGGTCATTGCAGAGGTAATTAAGCTAAGATGAGGTCATACTGGATTAGAGTGGGCCTTAATATCTGTAAGAAGGGAAAGACACAGACAGAGACACAAGAAAGAAAACGATGTCAAGATGGAGGCAGAGATTGAAGTGACACAACTACAAGTGAAAGAGCGCCAAGAATTGCTGGGAGCCACTGGGAGCTAGGAAGAGGCAAGGAAGAATTCTTCCCTTGAGCCTTCAGAAGAAGCATGGCCTGGTGTCCTACTTCTGCCTCTGGACCTGTGAGAGAATAAACATCTTTTGTAAGCCACATGGTTTGTGATCATTTTTATGGCAGCACCAGGAAACTATGACACCTTCCCTCCACACCACTTCACTTCAGCAATGCACACCATACATCCCATCTTTCCCTTCTTTTGAGGAATGTCCCCACCTCTACTTGTGGATCAAAGAAAATTTTACTGAAGATTTAGGCATAACAGGAAAGTTAAGCAGAAAAATCTAAAACTTAAAGCTGAATCTTAGACTGCACTGTCTTGAAATTCCTCAGCTATCATAGACACCATATTTTCCTCACTGGTGAGTCTCCTAGCCTGTCTCCTGCCATCATAAGATTTTCACACTCTCCCAGAAAAAGGCCCTCTCCCTCTTGTTTTCTCTTCTGAACTCTGCCTTAGAATCTCCAAAATCCTTGTTTCCCCAAATTTCTGGGAAAGACTCAAAATCTGTTATATTTCCAGGGAAATTTAACTCTGTTTCTCCAGACATCTGATATCTTGGTTATACATTTCATTGCTAAGTACATTATTAAGGAAATTATTTTAAATAGTTTCCTTTCCAAGAGGAGTTTTGCTATGTCATAAGGTCAAACTGCAACCAGTTTTTTAAAAAAATTTCTCTGTTATATTTGGATCTCAAATATCATAATTACCATTGTAATAAATTTAACCCTAAGTTCTAATTCCAATAAATTATATTCGAAAGTGACTCTGAAGTAAACAATAGGATAATAATTGAAATAAAAGTGCTACTCCTCAAAAATCACTTTTAATTTCACTTCTTTACTTCCACACAGTAGTGATTTACACATGCAAAGAAGTCCTTAGATATCACATTTTCCCTAATTTTTCTTTTCAAATTAGAATTTTGTCTGTCTAATAAAAGTTAGTAGATTCATAATATCTTTTTTCTACCTTGTAAAGAAAGACCTGTATATGAAGCACTTTCCATAATTTATTTAGTGTTCAGGTACAGCTCTATCAACACTGCTGTGAATCTGTCGTTTCCTTCTTTAACTAAAATATGTTTCCAATATAAAGGAAAGAAGAAAGAATATTTATAGGAAATGTCTAATACATAGTCATGTGTACACTACCTGGATTTTTAAGATGTTGACATTTCCCATGTTGACTATAGGTATTTGTTTTTTAAGAAATAAAATGCTATGACTACAGTTGAAACCCCCTTATGTTCACCTCTCCTGCTTTCCAGGGTAAACATTTATCCTGAAGCTTTTACATTTCCTTCCATTCATGCTTTTATGCATCTACTACATATGTATGTCAGTATGCATAAATAATGCATGGTATTATTTTGTCTGTTATTTTACATAAATGACGTTATACTGTATCTCTCATTGTGAGCTTGTCCTTTCCCTTCAGTTTTATGAATTCCAGCTTTATTTGAGTCAAAGACCCTTTATAACAGTAAAGACATTAATGAATAGCCAGCTCATTAAAAAGGATATAATTATAGAAAACAGAAAAAAAGATTATATATTCAATTTCAGTCCCATTTACAAAATTACTGTCAATATGCTTGGGAACTTTCTTCTAGTCTTGTAATATAGCCATATTTTTGTTGTAATTATAATCAAGTTTTTAATCTTAGTGTATCACTTATCATCTTTTTCTCCCCATTATCATCTTTTTCTCCCCATTTTCTACATGGTCATTTTAACAGTTCAAGCTTCCAAAACTATCCATCAAATGTATATATTATAATTAATTTAATTATATAAATTTATATAAATATAAATTATATAAATTAATATAATTAATTTAACTCTCTTTCTGGGATATTTAATATATATCTGTTTACAAATAAGCCTGCAATAAACAAGATAAAAATGACCACTGAAATTGTTACCTTTTACTCTATTGGGAGTTATTTCCTCAGATTAGATTGCAAATTTTCCTTCTTTTGGAAATTATCTTCTCTATTACTTTTTTTTTTTTTTTGGTGTCTCATGGTCATATAAATATGAATGAGCTATGTTTGTAATAACTTTTATATACATTTTTAATTTTATATATAGACTTTAGAAAATATAAAGAACTTAGCACGATACTCTGCCCTCTGGAAATAGGAAAAAGAATCAGGGGACTGCCTTTAGAAAGTTAAACTATAGAATGAACATACCATGAATCAGAGCAGAGATATGTCAACTCATCTAACCTGATTGAATGGATTAACATGTATAAAGAAAGATGTGCTAACCAAAGAGCACTGGGCAGTCCCAGAGGCAAAATCTCACTGCTAAGTCTCATTGTAAATTAATAAATAAATTAAACTAATGATTCACTGGTTGTGAGTTGACTTCCCGTGCAGATTGCCCCTGGGAAGAAAATGGCCTTGTCAAGCAGATTCACACATTCCAGTTTTTGAGGCAATTACATTTCTCATTGTCAATTGAATTGACATTTTGTCCCAAGATTCTGTTTAACATTAGTCTGCCTGTAAGAGAGAGATCCTCTCTAGGAGCTGACAAAATCAGGTTTTGTGATGTTTAAGGCTTCTGATCAGACCTTCCAACCAAATCCTCCCACCTTGGGAGACTCTCAGGAACCTGCCTTGTAGATTTTTCCCGTACTGGGACTCATGTTTGTGCCAGTGAAATCAGTCTTTTCTTCATGATTTTCTTCCTGTTTCTATACATAGAAACTATATTCCTTCTAACAACATAAAATATTAAGTTCTATTTCTTCTATTATTTGGTATATTAAGCATTTGCCAATTTAATCTCACCCGGTAAGGCAGTCCATGTATCAAGAGACACTCACCATTCATTCCTTCACTCACACCATAACTCTTCATCAAGTGACAACTAAGTGACAACCTACATTCTGTCAGGTGCTGAAAAGATAACCATAAGGGTTTCAGTCTAGTGGGGAATTAAACAAGATTGCAGGGCTTTAATGTAGTAGTTGTAATAATGCTATAGGAGTTGAAAGGGTTAACCTATCCAAATATGGGGCTTGAGTGTGGAAAAATGAGAGGAGAGGAGGGGAAGGAAGCCTTGCAGACAGGGACCAAAGCCCTGGAAATAAAGAAGAATGAGGCTTTTTCCAAAAATGTGAGTAGTTATATAACTGGAAGGAAAAGGTAAAAGGATGCATAGGTGGAGAATTTCTCAAAGGGTTAGACTGGAGAGGTGAGCAGAGATAAATCATGACTTTATGTGTTCCAGGAGTCACTTGGCAGGAGAATCCCCACTGAAATCCTCCATCATTCTAGTCTATTGTGTATGTAACTCTACCAGGGGTTGCCAAAGTTTTTCTGTAAAGGACCAGATAACAAATATTTGGTTTGCATGCTATTTGTTCTCTGTCACAACTCTTCAACTCTCCTGTCATAGCCTGAAAGCAACAAAAGACAATACATAAACCAATGAGTGTGGCTGTATTCCAATAAAACTTTATTTACAAAACAGATAGCAGCCTGGAATTGGCCCACAGGCCAAAGTTCGCCTCACCACTGGTCTAGAAGAGTCCCTCCAAAAAAATAGAAAATAATATTTGGAAATAATAAAGGCAAACCTAAACTCACATGACATCTGCAGATGTTGGCAGAAGCTCATTTTCATAGGTTAATAATTCCTCTTTGAGGAAGATAGTATTAAATTGAGAATTATTAATAATAAATATATGTATGCATATGTATAAAGGTGATTAATATCACAGATAATTGCTTTCATCGCAAAATAGAAACCTTAAGATTTTCAAAACTTATAAAAATAAAAACTTTATATTTGTACAGAATTTTAAAGAATGCATTATTTCTTCTAATATCGCCTTATGAAACTTGAAAACAGGATACATGTTTTAGCCAAATTGTTCCTAGAAACCAGGAAAATACCTGGCAGAGTTGTGTTTAAATGCATTTAACTTATGGCAGATGTTACTTTCTTTTTTAACAATTAAAAAATTTGGTCCCACAGAGATTAAATGGTTTATCAATGTCGTATTAACAGTGTTGGAAGCAGAACTAAAATCCAGATTATCTGACTTCTAGATTTTTAATTTCAGTTATACTCTAGAGTCACAGGTAGCAAAAAGAGTATAGGACTAAACATAAAGTATAATTGATATTATACAAATACACCAAGATTGTGAAAATATTTTTTATGGAATGGACTCAAGATTTTTGCACAAATCTCTGCTTCAACAACAAAAAAAAATGCCTCCTCCTTCTCACTCCAAAAATGCCGTGTTCATACAAGTGATCTTGCCTAGGATGTTTAGTACACAGATGTGCATCTGGCCCAAACTAGGCCATAGAAGGGCTTCCCTGGATATTTTAAAATCTATCACCAAGAAAGAGACTGTAAAATATAAACTCAGGTGACTGTCAGAGCTGTCAGTCTGTCACTGAGAAAAAGACTATAAAATATAAGCTTAGGAACTGTTAGCAGACATGTTCTATCATGTGAACTGGACAACAAAGGTATCCAGCTTCCAACAAAAAAGAATCATGAAGCTTGGATAAAAGTTGGAGTCCTGAGCTGATTCAAGTCTTGGTTCATCTGTTCTAGATACCTAACTATAGTCTTATCCCTGGGTTCCATGGAAAATCCCATGATCCTTAAAAGATATTATTTCCATTTTGGTTTAAGTTACTTTGGTTTCTGTTTCTGGTTTTTTTTGTGTGTTTTTTTTTTTGTTTGTTTTGTTTTTTTGCCAATTGAAAAGTAATAATACATAGAATCATTCAGTAGGCACATAATCAATGCTTATGTGTGTTGATTTGATCTGAATCAGGAAAAAGTCTACACTAATAAAGTTAAAAAGAGAATTAAGGCAGCTATGTAGAAGAAAATATATAAAAATTACTCTCTTCTGAAATTTTTATATACAAGGCAAAATTTCCCAAATGGAAAATCTGTCTGAATAAATAGGTTTGCTTGATGTCAAAGGACCCACCGACATTGTTAACATCCATATAATGATGAGTTAACTAGATTCAGAGAAAATTCTCAGCTGCAGTCTTAAAGAGAAAATGCTGTGATGGAGGCTGATGACAAAATGAACTTTTCACCATCGCCAAGATAGAGCAGTTGAGTGGTGTGTGAAGCCAACTCGCAAATGAGTCTATTGACCTATCGAGAGACCTTTCCTCTATATTAGTTCCAAAGTGGTCAAAGATCAGTGAAATACGATCACCTGTCAATAGTTGATTTATAAATGAAAAATACTCCAGGTGACAGGTATGGATTGGCATACCCAGTTATATTTGGTCCTAAAGAATGCAAATAGAGACTTACTCCCCCTCAGAGTCCCATTAGCATAGGGGATTTGTTCCTACAAATGTTCAGCCAATCTCTTTGCAATAAATGAAACCAGTAATTATATAAGTATCATCATCTGTTTCTCATATAACATGCCTGCTCTATTTTAAATATATAATGCAATCGTCTAGGTCAGTGGATCTTAAAGTGTGGTCCTGGATCAACAATACCTTAGGAATTGTTAAAAATGCAAATTATTAGGCCCCACTCAAGACCTACTAAATCAGAAACTCTAGGTGTGGAGTCACCAATCTGTGATTCTGCTGCCTACCAAAGTTTGAGAACCACTGCCCCAGGACAAGCTAGGCTCATAATAACATTTTGGGAGGAGTAAGAGGTCAAGAATGCTTACATACACTTGTTTGGGCAATAAGATCACCAGATTCATGTAAACAAATGTTTGAATATGCCTGTTTCTTTTTCATAATATGCATGATAAATATATTATGCTTGGATATATCTGACTTATGTAATAATAAACATTTGGGCATGGCACTAGTTAATACAACATGACTCTATTATGTAAAGACTTTACACAATCCATTCCTGGATTATACTTTCTCATTTTCTTAGACAATTACAGGGAATGATTGGGTCACCCAAGTATTTTACTAGATAATTGAAAGTTTGAATACTGTAACAACAAATTATTTTCATTTTAAAAAATATTTTAACTTATGCTTATTAGGTGATGAATGGCTTTGTACTTGGACATGATTATACTAATTTAGTATTTAGCACTGAATTATATTTTGGAAGAATCAGTAAAATAATTATGGTTATAATAATACATATTAGCATGCTACTTATTTATGTTTCTGAGTGGCTCAGTCGGTTTTTGTTACAGTAAATTGTCAATTTTCTGTAACTGTTATTGGATTACTGTTTCAACAAAATTTACTTGAATTGGGGGGAAAATGTTATTGAATATTTCTTCAATTAACTGAGCTCTGAAGACCTACCCTAAAACTCCATCTTCACATTAGATATTCTTGTTGTGGCAACTACATCTTGCTATTTTATAATATAGTGTTCCTCAAACTTATATTTGAAAAGATATATTTAAATAGAACTGTATTAATTGGTTTTTATGACTATTATGGAATATTGTTATTTTTATTTAGCACTAATTAAATTTTTAAAAATATTTTTTCTGGTAATGCTAGGCATTACAGAAAAAAATGACATTTCTGATGATAAACAAAGGATTTTGTTCTTTGTGGTTTATTGTTTTCATCATTTCTCAAAACACACAAAAATCATATGGTTTTTTTTATCCTATTTTTTTTCCCCAAAAAAACACACAAAAAATTTTGGAACAAAATCCAGGTGCCTCACAACAAGGAATATCCCTGCTATTTCTAGATGAATGCTGTCACTATAGTTACCTTGTTTCTCTTAGTAAAAGACATGAAATTTGGTCACCTATTTTTCCATTTACTACATTATAAAATATCTTTTCCTTGGCCTCCATTGAAATTCTCTGAATTGTGTATTCCAGTTTGTGTGTTACAGTGTCAAGAAAACAATGAATCACTGTTATAAATTTCTATAAATAGTATGAAAAATCTATGGCATTAATAAACTTGTAGCTGTTAAATTTTAAAGTCATTGGAATATAAACTTTGAAGTGTCTCAAATATATATAACTTGCATAAATGTTAAAATAGAGGGACTGCATTTTCCTCTTCTGCTTTTACAGATGCAATGTTTGCAGTTAAACTCTTTGCCAATAGGTGGTGCTAGAAAGTTTACTATTTATTCCAATAGTTGCATTTATTTTTAAAGATGTGCTAAAATACTTTTTAAAAAAGAAAAAGTATTATAAAACAATATGTACATAAATAACCCTTATTTTTTTTTACAGCTCTATCTAGGACAGTTCGACTGGTTGGTGGTGGAGGCCCTCATGAGGGTAGGGTGGAGATATTCCACAACGGCCAGTGGGGTACAATTTGTGATGATCGCTGGGAATTGCGCGTTGGACTGGTCATCTGTAGAAGTTTGGGATACCAGGGCGTTCAAAGCGTGCACAAGGCAGCTCATTTTGGACAAGGTAATTTAGAGAACATTCTATTTTCTAAAAAAATGAAACGGGCATTCTCTAACAACATAGCACCAAATAGAGACAGGAACACATGGGATAATAGGAAAGAATTCTGTGTAGGAGTTTTTAAATGTCCTTACCTAGAAAATGAAACTTTTAAAACAGCAATATTATAAACAAATGGCATGCTCTAAGATGACCTGTACTGTTTTGATTTCATGTAGACTCAAATGGTTAGTTGGAGAATAGTGACAGAGAGGAAACTAGAGTAATTGGTAAGGCAGATAAAGAACAATAGGGACAAGTGAATTATTGACAAGACATGACACCTCCCGGGGTAGCTCAGTTTGCACAACTGGGTCTGGTGGGCACCTGAGCAAAGTCATGTGTTCGCTTGTACTCGCTCTTCTGTGGAACTGTAGGGGAGAGTGCCATCCTCCCCTTTGACCTCCCTCCGATGTCCGATAGTAACAAGATATATTATTCATCCCTGATGGAGTACCTGTATTCTCAAAGGACAGTGAGAAGTCATCAAAGAGAAAGGAGCAATTGCAACTGCTTCTGGCGTACCTTCCTTTAAGGGACATGACAGGAAATAAGGAAAGAGAAAGGTTACTTTCCCCTCCATTTTGATTTGATAAAACATTGAATAATTCTTTGGCTGCATATACATTTGTGTTTTTTCACCTAGGTGACTCAGTAACCTGGTCCATGAATGTATTAAAAGGGCTAGGAGGAGAAATTGCAAGGGACGAACTGCTTGAACGTATACCTATGAAATTTTGACTGTCTCATTGATTTTATAAACTGACATCTTATAATAAGTTTTATATACAATTAAATATATACAAATTAAACATATAGCAATGCTTCAACTCTGAATGACAAAGAGATGACAGTTGTATATGTATATATATATGTACGTATACACACAGACGTACACATTCTCTCTAGGATTTTAGTCAATATTTCCTACTCGTTTATCCTATTATTCAAATCTGATATAAATTGGTTTCTCTGAAGTTAATGCTGACCAAAAAAAAAAAAAAAGAGATATGACCTTCTTGATTTCGTATATTTTATTATTTTAGATATATACGAGCAAGCTGGCAAAATGGAGAGGAAGCTATTATGTATGTAAAATTATAGAAATAAAATAGCAGCGTTTCCAGATAATCTTATCTATAGTGATAAAATAGGGGAGTATGTCAAATCATCACATCAGAAGACTGGAACAAGATAAGATGGGTTTATCAAATACCTAAAAGACATTGTTGAGTGATATTATGCTATGGTTTATTGAGTAATAACTATATGTCAGGCATTGTGCTAAACAAACCTGAATAGTAACAGTAAGGTCACAATTATTTCCTTTATTCTTTTATCTAAATTTCATAGGTGATATGCCAGAGTTTCTATACCCAGGTTCAGCCCCTGGCGGCCAGTTTTTAACTTGAGCATTAAATGTTTGAAAGCAAGAAACAAAGGAAATAAATTTACAGCCCTAAATAGTTATCTGAAGTTTCCACATTTTCCATCTCTATCACATCTTCAGAACACTCTTCCCAGGTTGAAAAGTGTGGAACTGAAATCATTCTTGTACCTGTAAAATTGATCTCCCAAAGTAAAATGTTTTTGAAGCCAATAAGCTGGATTTTTTTTCTCTTGTTTTATAGAGAAGAGGAAAAAGACACACACAAAAAAATCCCCAACTCTTGTTCACTAGAGAATCCAATGATGCAGTTAATCATTCAGCTAGATTGAGCTGCCAATTTGAGTGTCCACAATATTGTATAACGAGAGAATCTATTTCTGTGATAACGAAGTCCCACAGAATGAAAGGCTATTTATTTTAAATATGTAATTGTATAAAACATTTCAAATAACTGTTAGCATCTATGAAGAGGACAGTTGCAGGTCTAACAGAGGACACCCAATTCTCATCCATGGTGTCTTACTCACCTGATAAATGGCTGAAAACTCTTCAGTTTTAGAAATAACAGCATGTGCATGCTTTGGGTTCTCAGGATGTACATTTGTTGACAAAACAAAATACAGAGTTTGCCAGTGATTCAGGTAATTTAATCTACATGGGCTAGCTGAGTTCAAAAAAAGAAAAATATCTTAAAATGTCTTTAATCAGGATTCTTTGAGTGCTTACATTATCCAGAGAGTTGACAACTCTGTGTTTAGCTTGTTTCTTTAAGAAACTAGCCCAGTAGGGCTGTTTAATAACCTATTATGTCTTGAGGTAAACCTTTTTCATCTACTACAAAGAGAAAACCAAATTCAGGGCAACAACAGCAGTGTATGTACTTTAATTCAGAGAAAACTAATAAGCTTTGGCAAATACAGCCTGTGGTATGGACATGAACAGGACATTGCCTCCAGCTTTATTTCTTCTCTGAACATGAAGCCTTGCCATGGACTTCAAAGATATTTTTCCACTGGCATTCCCAACATAGGTGAGAAACACACAGTTGGAGACTATTGGCTGAAGACTGTTATTAACTTTAAGGCCTAGTCTCACAAGTAAAATATTTTTTTCCTGAAAGTTTTTACTCATTCCTGCTTATATCACTAGGAATTTGTGGTCTAAAGAACTGATAAGAAAGGAAGGATACTGGCAAAAAATTTTTCTATTTAAATAAGGAATAAAACAATAAAGTTTAGTCTCAGGTGAAATTATTTACTACCTGTGTGGAGAGACATCTCTTGAGTTTTCTTCACATAATTGACTACATGTCTAATACGAGTGTTTGCTTTTAATGAGGCTGTGAGTTTACGGTAGCTGGTGATTTTACACATTGTTCCACAGTTTTGTTATAATAAAACAATAAAGCATGTCAGGATTTTGGTTTTCCTTTCACATATTATAGCACCTAGTGAAACAAACTGGAAAGATGAGGAGTTTTATAACTAAGAAGATATGAGTTGAAACCTTAGCTCTGGTACTTATGTCTCTGAGTTTCAATTTCCTTTGTGACAAAATGAAAATAATAACCACCAACCTGGCAGATTTGTTTTGAATCTTAAGTGAACTAGCACATGGAAAGTGCCTACTACAAAACATGTCTCATAGCATTACTCAATACTGACAGAGGTCACTGCTAGCAGTAATGCAGACTGTATCATGACAAGTTTATTTGCCATTCTCTTTGAAAGAGTCAGATCAGTCTCATATTACATAGTGATGTCAGTGATGTTCCAAGGGTCAGAAAGTTAAATGTGACTTCCCATTGTACAGAGATGTTCCTGGAGGAGAAAACTGCAGAGAAATTTTCATCATCTCCCCACTCTACTCAATATAGACCAAGCTCTTGGTTCGGGTCTCTGCCTAGAGTTTAGTATCAAACAACTGAAGGATGATTGTAAGAATTTTAAAATAATAAAGCAAGATGAGCTGGGAGAAAAAAATAAAAATGGAAATAAGGCTATTTGCTTGAAAGAAGAAAAATGTGAAAAATAAATTTTATGATCTGCTTCATTGGATGTTGTATTTTAAGAGACAGGCTTACATTGTGAACTGATTGGGGATTAGACATGGCGAACAACCTTTTTATGCAAAGCTGTTTAAACTCTTTTTTTATTTTTTTCACTCCTCCCCTTAAATTTACAGTTTCACTCAGAAGGAAAAGAGAAAGCAATTTTGTATGCAGAATAGAGACAGAAAAGGAAACTTAGAAATGTGAGTGGAAGGGTAGGGGAGTGAAAAAGAGACATGCATTAGAGTTTTAATTATTTGTTATTCTCTCAGTAAAGTAAGAAGAATCAGACTGATATTGTACATCATTACCAAACTTGAAACAAAAAAGAAAAAAATTAAATGTATCCCCTGTGTATATTTTCCCCATTATAGAAAGAATATAATTTTCTAGACACAACACCTCCCTCCTACCCCTGCTTTTTTTTTTTTTTTTTCTGGTTTTAAAATAGCAAACCTGGCTTACCAGATAGAATCCTTGTTAGTTTTAAGAACAATTAGCTTTGCAGCTGCAAGCAAAATGATTTATGGGAATAAAGCTTAAAGCATGCTCCTTTAAATAGGTTCTTTCATTTGGATGCACCTTGTGCATAAAGTGGAATGTTCTTTCTTTTTCCTGAGTAGACAAAACAAGTTAAATTAAGGAAGCACCGAGAGGTATCTGGTGCTTGTCATTACACAGGGTAGGGAAGGGAGAATGAGTCACTTTTCTCTCCCTGTCCAGGATTTTCAACTTCTTGTCCCAGTGGTCTCCCTGTAGCAAACTCGGATGAGCTTTATCAGAAAATGGTGGTACTTACAGAAATTTGTTCCAGGTATATCTGAGCCTATATGCATGCTAACACAGGACGTCAGAGCTGGGTCTTGGAGTAGCTATTGCATCTTCTCCTAAGTTCATGATGCTGAAGCTCCAAAACTGAAAATAGAAACAAAAGAAAATTCTAAACAAAAATGTCATTTTTAAATCTTGGCTTATTAAATTAGCTTAATTCTTAGGTGCCTATTGTTTGCTTTTGTATTACCACTTTCACATTCTATGATTGTTATTTTCTAAGTGGAATTCTAAAAAAAAATGCAAGGCAAACAGAAGGCAGTCGAAAAATATACCTCTGCACCTCTGAACTATCCTTTAGTGAGTGGAAGTAAAAATAATCTCGAAGATAAATAAAATATATCAATGGGTCAGAACTCAAATTCTTATATATTGCTCTCTGCAGTATATAGTTGAAAGTTTTTAAATGTAAATTTTTGGATAATGAATATTATGGAAAGTAATATAGAGCCATAGAATTTATAACATATCTGTTTTGTTACTTACAGTAACAAAGACAGTACTAAGTATGGAAAAGTATTATTTGTCAAGTGTGTACTATATGATCTCGTGTAGTATTTGCAATGTCTGGGAGAAATAGATATTATAACCCCAATTTTTCATAAAGAAAGTAATTATGGCCAACAGAAATCACCAAACTTGCTCAAATTTTCAAATTTTCATGGCCCTTAGGGTGCTGATGGGGGATGGTGGAGGAATGTCAAGACTCATGCCTTTACCTGACTCTCATACCACACTCTTTCCACGAGACAGAACATCCTTCTAAGTTCTTTATCCTTAAGAACTTCATTTCTCAGAAGATTGCTTCTCCAGAATCTTAGAATCATAGGATGTTAAAGGTGGATGAAATCTTGGAACTATTGTAGCCCCATTCTTTTATTCTGCATATAATAAAATTGCAAAAAACTAAACAATTTCTCCAAAATTACAAAACTGGAATCCAAACTACAGTTGACATTGACCTCGTCTCCATTCTGATTCCCATGACATTTTCAACTTTAATACAAAACCTCAATGTTTATCTCAAAGGAGACACTGTTCAAAGGCATTTCCCAAATAAAAATCTTAAAAGTGATACTGATTCATGTCACCCAGCCCTGACTAAGTATAATTAAAATACATTCAGACACTTTTAACCATTAGTGACTTTTGCTTACTCTCTTCTCTATTCAACAGCTAATCTCAAGTCTTATTATGGTATATCTCGGTAATATATGAAAACTGATTACTTTTTTTCCATAGAAGTGTTGGTAATATTAAATATACTCAAATCCCCCAAAGAAATCTCAATATCTATCTTTTTTATAAAGAGGTTAAGAGAAAATAGTATCTTCTGTGAGGTATATTCTCAGACATCATAAACTGAGATCATAAAACTCAGAAGCCATGGACAACACCCTTATTGTCATCTGCTCTTAGAAACACAAAATCGATCAATTTTTCCTCTCTATAGCCCTTAGGTTGTAAAAGAAATCATAGATGTATCGATGCATGGGAAAATAGGTAGATAAGTGAGAGAGAGAGAAGGAGAGAGAGGAGGAGAGACTAAAAGCCTATCTAAGATAGACACATCAATTTTGCATAGCTTTCTACTGAGGACAAAGAGAGTTCAGAGGCAAAAAGAAAAACCTAAACCAACAATGACAGCAGCAACAACAAAAATCAGTGAGTAACAGTTATTATCTAAAGAAATAAAAACAAATTTGTTTTTTATCTCTTAGGTTTACATGAGGATAAAATTTTATGAATTTTATGCTGTCTTTGCATTAATTTTTTAATGCAGAAAACAATTTGGAATGAGATAGGAAATATGTATTAAATAAATTTTTCCCTTAGGCCCAATAGTCCTGAATATATTAATATAAAACAACAAATCTTTGGAAATTATTTCTATAACTTTCTTTGCTCATCTGTGTAGCCAATGAGTATCACTAAGTTTTAAGTGTCATTATGTTCTGTTGCTTGGCTCTATTCTCTGTCATTTTGAGAAAGTCATACACCCTTTATGTGTCTCAGTTAATTTATCCATCAAATGGAGATAACTTCCATTATTTTTCAAGGTTATTACCATAAGTAAATGTAAAGTTAGACATGAAAACTTAGCATACTGTCTTATACCCAAGAACTCAAGCCACGTTCACTGTGTCTGAATCCTTGCCATGTAGCAAAAGTCAGAGTTATTAAATGGCACCATGTGTTTGTCACATTCCTGTGTCCTCTGTGAAAAAGAGCTAGAATAAAAATTTAAGGTTCTAGATGCAAGGATCAGCTCTGCCACTAATTCTATATGTGACCTCAATTGCTTTATCTAACTAGAACATAAGCCCTCACTAAGAGGTCAGGCTGAGAGAGAAGGATTTTGGTTTTGTCCACTCATTAGGCATCCAAGGCAGGTTTGCTGAATGACTGAATCAAACCATGCAAGGGATTGCAGTAAGTCCTTCATTTAAGGTGCTGGCTCAGAGCAGACACAGGGTGGGAATGCTCTGTAACCTACAATAATTACTTATTCTCTCAGATTTTCAGTTTCCTCAACAGTAAATGGAACGATAATAGCACTTAATATTTTAAGGTTGTTTGAGGATTCAGTGGGATAACATATCAAAGGTGCTTTGAATGTTTCCTGCCACTTAGTAAATTCTTAAATGAGTGAGTTTAAATTTTCATTATTATTACCACAGCCTTGGTATGCTAACATGTATGAATCCCTTTCCCGTATTTTTTAAAAATGTGTGCTACCTTGTCAACACATTAATTGACCAAACGATTTCTTTCTTGTGCTTCCTCTGTGGGGATGGCCTTCCTGAGGCTGCAGCCATTGGAAGGATTCTCACTTTTCTTTTTTTTTAATTTTAATGTTAGCGTATTATGGGGGTACAAGTGTTAAGGTTACATATATTGCCCATGCCCCCCTCCCCGCTCAAGTAAGAGCTTCAAGCATGTCCATCCCCCAAATGTTGCATATCTTACTCATTGTGGTTGTATACACCCATCCCCTCCTCCCCCCTCCCACCCTCCCGACACCCGATAAATGTTACTCCTATATGTCTACTTAGGTGTTGATCTGTTAATACCAATTTGCTGGTGAGTACATGTGGTGCTGGTTTTTCCATTCTTGAGATACTTCACTTAGTAGAATGGGTTCCAGCTTTATCCAGAAATATACAAGAGGTGCTATATCACCATTGTTTCTTAAAGCTAAGTAGTATTCCATGGTATACATATGCCACATTTTATTAATCCACTCACGAATAGATGGGCACGTGGGTTGTTTCCACAGCTTTGCAATTGTGAATTGTGCTGCTGTAAACATTGGAGTGCAGGTGTCTTTTTCATAAAGTGACTTTTGATCTTTTGGGTAGATGCCCAGTAGTGGAATTGCTGGGTCAAATGGTAGATCTACTTGTATCGCTTTAAGGTATCTCCATATTGCTTTCCACAGAGATTGAACTAGTTTGCAGACCCACCATCAGTGTAGGAGTGTTCCTCTCTCTCCACATCCACACCAGCATTTGTTGTTTGGGGACTTTTTGATAAAGGCCATTCTCACTAGAGTTAAGTGATACCTCATTGTGGTTTTGTTTTGCATTTCCCTGATGATTAGAAATGTTCAACATTTTTTCATGTGTTTGTTGGCCATTATTCTGTCTTCTTTTGAGAAGTTTCTGTTCATGTCTTTTGCCCATTTTTTGATAGGGTTGTTTGATTTTTTCTTGCTGATTTTCCTGAGTTCTAAATAGATTCTAGTTATCAGCCTTTTATCAGATGTATAGTTTGCAAAAATTTTCTCCCATTCTGTGGGTTGTCTGCTCTCTTGACAGTTTCTTTGGCTGTGAAGAAGCTTTTTAATTTCATCAGGTCCCATTTGTTTATTTTTATTGCTGCTGTGATTGCCTTTGGGGTCTTCTTCATAAATTCTTTGCCTAGGCCAATGTCTAGAAGAGTATTTCTAACATTTTCCTCTAGAATTTTAATAGTTTCACACCTAAGGTTCAAGTCTGTTACCCAGTGTGAGTTAATTTTTGTGAGAGGTGAAAGGTGTGGGGTCTTGTTTCAGTCTTCTACATGTGGCTATCCAGTTTTCCCAGCATCATTTGTTGAATAAGGATTCTTTTCCCCAGTGTATGTTTTTGTCTGCTTTGTCAAAGATTAGTTGGCTATATGAGGATAGTTTTATATCTGGGTCCTCTGTTCTGTTCCACTGGTCAATGTCCCTGTTCTTGTGCCAGTAAAAAGCTGCTTTAATGACTATAGCCTTGTAGTATAGTTTGAAGTCTGGTAAATTGATACCTCCTATTTTTTTTTTTTTTAATTGCCTAGGATTGATTTTGCTATATGGGGTCTTCTCTGGTTCCACATGAAACGTAAAATTATTTTTTCTGTATCTGTGAAAAATGATGGTGGTATTTTGATTTGGATTGCGTTGACTCTGTAGGTCACTTTGGGTAGTATAGACATTTTTACAATGTTGATTCTGCTGACCCATGAGCATGGTATATTCTTCCATCTGTTCATGTTCTCTGCTATTTCCTTCTTCAGTGTTTCATAGTTCTCCTGTAGAGGTCTTTTACCTCCTTAGTTAAATATATTCCAGGGTACTTTATTTTCTTTGTTGCTATTTTGAAGGGAATTGAGTCTTTGATTTGGTTCTCAATTTGACTGTTGTTGGCGTATATGAATGCCTCTGATTCCTGTGTATTGATTTTATATCCTGAGACTTTACCAAATTCATTTATCAGATCAAAGAGCCTCTTGGTTGAATCCTTGGGGTTTTCTAGGTATAATATCATGCCATCAGTGAAGAGTGAGAGTTTGATCTCTTCTGCTCCCATTTGGATGCCCTTAATTCTTCTCTCTTATCTGATTGCTGTAGAGAGGACTTCCAGCACTATGTTGAACAGAAGTGGAGATAGTGGGCAACCTTGTCTTGTTCAAGTTCTAAGCGGGAATGCTTTCAATTTTTCCCGATTCAGTATGATATTGGCTATGGGTTTGTCATATATGGCTTGTATCATTTTTAGGTAAGCCCCATCTATGCCTATTTTTTTAGTGTTATTATCATAAAAGGGTGTTGAATTTTGTCAAATGCTTTGTCTGCATCTATTGAGAGAATCATATGGTCTTTGTTTTTGCTTCTGTTTATATGGTGAATTAAATTTATAGATTTGCCAATGTCGAACCATCCCTGCATCCCTGGCATGAAGCCCACTTGCTTATGATGAGTTAGTTTCTTGACAAGCACCTGGAATTGATTGGCTAGGATTTTGTTGAAAATTTTTGCATCTATATTTATAAAGGATATTGGTCTGTAGTTTTCTTTTTCTCTTTCATCCTTTCCTGGTTTTGGTATCAGGGTTATGTTCACTTCATAAAATGTTTTGGAGAGGTTTCCATCCTTCTCCATGTTGTGGAATAATTTCTGCAGGATAGACAATAGTTCTTTCTTGTTGGCGTGGTAAAATTCGGGTGTGAAACCATCTGGTCTAGGACTTTTCTTTTTAGGAAGGTTTCTTATTGCTGTTTCAGTTTCAGTACTTGATATTGATCTGTTCAGGGATTCTATTTCTTCCTAGTTGAGCCTAGGGAGGCTGTGTGTTTTTAAGAAATTGTCCATTTCCAGTTTGTGTGCATAAAGGCTTTTGTGGTATTCATAAATTATATCTTGTATCTCCATGGCATCAGTTGTAATTTCTCCTTTATTGTTCCTGATGGAGCTTATTAGAGATTTTTTTTTCTGCTTTTCATTAGTCTAGCTAATGGTGTGTCAATTTTGTTTATTTTTTCAAAGAACCAACTTATTGTTTTATTAATCTTCCGTATAGTTTCCCTGTTGTCAATTTCATTTAGTTCTGATTTGATCTTAATGATTTCACTTCTTCTG